CACTTTTCCCCTCTTCATCAAGAAGCTGTTGGCCGTTGTTTGGGGAGCTTCCCAGGTCATGGAAGTCGTATCTGTGCTCTGGCGGATCTGGAAGTCTCAGAATTGGGTTGTCTTTGAAGGCAAACCGTTTGGGATACCGGTCCTTTTGCGGAAATACCAACAGCAGTTGAGGGAATGGGATTCGATTCCAAGGGAAATGGTTGGGGTGCCCCTGTGCGGGCCATCCATGCCAAGCCCCCTGGTGACCCGACTTCGTTTATTTGTCGATGGGATGGAGCTGTTAGACTGGGGTCGCACTCGGCTGGAGGGATGGTGCTTCTGGACCCGAGCGGCGGGGTGGTTGGTGCGAGGGGTGTGTGTTTTCCGTAATTGTATAGTATTTGGGGCCTGATCTGATTTTGCCTTGCCTTGTGATTGCAGATGACCGGCTTCCCAAGTACATGGCCTCTGCGATCTCCCACTTCAAGAACATGGACGATATACTCATCTCCATCGAGGAACACGCTACAGCCGAGGAGACCAACTCACTGAAACACTCGGAGGAGTCGTACAAAGGGGAATTATTTGCCTTCGAAGCCATCAAGTTCAGGATCGTCCAAACAATGCTTAACCTGAGCGATGCCTTGATCAAACAGATCGAGCCCCAGCAGAAGCATATGGAGCGGCTGCTCGACGTGCCTTCCAAAGAGATCCCTGATGACCTTCCCTACGATGGTTATGAAGAGCTCAGGGTGCCTGAGCCCTTCTGAGCACACTGTCTGTCTGTAAGTACTAGCCACTTCCCCAATAACATGTGATTTGATGAATGCTGAATGCTGATTTCGACTAGGTTGAATTTATTGAACCTTGGTTGGATTGTTGAACGTTTTTCCGGGTATTCTGTTTTGAACCGAATGCATTGGGGTTGTCAATGTTAACGAACAAACCAGTTAGTCTCGATTGAGTTTGAATAATTTAGAGTTTTTGGAAAAAAGGGTGTTTATATGTCGTTTCTTTTTCTCTTACACGCGATCCTTCAAACGAACCTACTTGTGGTAGACCGTGACCTCTCGCGGCTCAAGGCTTTGATACCATGCATTTTTAGCCAACCGGTATAATGAATGGAGATAAGTTGCTGCAGCACTGTATTGGGTTTCAGTGGGGGTGGGGGGTTGAGGGAACTTTGCTTTCATAGTTTCGTTTGTTCCCTTTGTTGGAGGAGTTGTTGTCCTCTCTCTTCTTCTTTGCTTCTGGACTTGGATTTCTCCTAACCTGTTTGGATCACTCCTGCCGATCCTTGGGTGATGGAGTTTGTCTCTGATTGTTTTATAGTTCTGTTTCTAATTAATAAATTCACCCTTATAAATAAAAAAAGTTCCTGCAGCACTGTACAACTTGCTGAGTTTCTGAAAGTTGTAAGATTTTTTTAATGCGCTGAATGGTTGAATGAAGAAAGTCTCTGCTCTCGCCATAGACACCATGTTTTAAACACTTGCACAAACCTTGATGAAGTAAAGAGGTTTATCTACTCGCTCGCGTCGAAGGATTCAAGGGAGTAGATATACCTCTTTATGCGTAACTTCCGTAATTTATGTAGATTTGCAAACTTTAACTACGTGCCTATATAAGATCCCTCTTCGATGAGGTTCGTGATCCGTTCTTTATTGTTGTTGCTGCTGTTATTGTTTCACTAGGCGATGGTGATGCACCCGCTACATGTGGATGCTGGCTTGCTGAAGTGGAGGCAAAAGTATATAGTCGTTTTTTGTTTTGTCGCACTTTCTGAGAATTTGGTGCTTATGTTTGCTCCCCTGATCAGGATGTGGAGATGACATTTGTGTTTGTTGGTGGTTGGATTATGGAAATCTTTGAATTGTCGGCAGTTGGGTTTGTTTAACATTATACTTGGTTGTGCTCTTGGTTTGCTTTTGTCGCTCTTTTTTTTTTTATAAGCTTGAGTGGCTAGATCAATGGGAAAGCATTCTATTGGTACGAGTTATTCCAAAATGTAAGCATGTTGTGAAATGAAGAGGAGAACAATGGTCTGAGGGAACGTTTGACTTTGGTCCATGGTTATATTTCTGGGTTGTTCATGGATGTGAATGAATAAGAGCTAGGACATGCTGCAAAGGACTTGCTCTTGCAGTTTGAAGTCTGTGTCTGCAGATTAACTCTCGATCTTCAAAGTAACAGTGAAGCAAGTGATGGGATAAAAAAACTATCCTATTAGAATGATATGGGTAAAAAAAATTAAATGGATAAAATATGTATGTCCATGTATAGGCATATTAAACATAGCATTTACCAATTATGGCCATTGTTATGACAATGTTTTTTTTTTATTTATAGTATTATTATCCCACCTTTTAAAACTTAAATCATGAGCTTCATTAATTATCCGACTTCACCAATCACCAGTTCACCACGATCCAAGTCCGACAAACATAGCTATACATAAAGAAAAATTATTTCAAAATCTTCATTTTCATCAATCGAAAATTTAATTAACAATATAACTCTATTAATAACTCTGACTTTCACACTCGAGTACAAGGTTGTTTTGAAGGGAATGGGAGTTTGTAACACGTTTGGAAAAGTAAAAGGGTTGTATTTTGACAGTTTTGTATTGTTGGAGGACCAATTGGTAACAACGACCCTAACAACGAGGCCATTGTTACTTCTTGGTCGAGCTAATCAAGGGCAGAGTGCTCATTGTGAATCCGGTCACATTTCTACAGTTTTAGATAAATGTTGTTGTCGGATGGGATTTCCAGGCAGTATATTGAAAGAAAAATCTTCTTTCAAACGGAGCATTCGTTAGTCCAAGGACTTCGAATCGCTGCTATTTTCCTATCTATTTAGTGTGGGAAGGCGGTGGCAAGACGATATGAGAGGAAACATGTAATGTAATCTAGTGGTTAGGGGTGGAAATTGGTAGAGTATCGGTATTCATCTACCAAATATTGAAATATTAAATAATAAATTGTGTCTTAAATTTAATTCCAAATTGTATTTTGGTATATGTCTATCTCAATCCCACTCCCGTAATTTCTAATAGCAAATAATATTTCAAATTCAATCCCAAAAATAATACATGTATTCGATAATACCACGTATCGACAAATTTGGTTCGGTATATCCCAAATACCGATACCAAACTTTCAGCCCTAATAGTGGTATCTTTACTCACTGATTCAAATTATTGGTATTAACTAGTTTATGATATAGCGTAGGAGTGGTTTGGTCAAGTGGGTTTGTATTTTTTAATTTATTTTATTCTCAATACAAACTTCACGTTCGTGAGTTGACTTTCATTTGAGATAGTGTGGAAGAGAGTGATATAAGATCTATAATAACCTTCTCCCATCAACTCGAGTTATTGAGACCAACTAGTTTATGACAAAACAATTGTTTTGTGGTTGTTTTTCCAATGGAGTGTTTTTTAAACCATAGCGTACCGGCGGTTTGACAAAAAAATCCTATTACGGGAGGTTAAGTCGATAGGCGATTTTTAATGGTATAGAGCTGTTAAACCATGACTTCACTACAAAATACTTTATCGCTGGGTTTTTAGGTACAACCTTCTGTAAGGTTTCACAATCCTTGTTCTAGTGTAGTGTGTCTACACCACGAATTGTGAATACCTTGATTTGGCGGTCTTTATTGATATAGAATGGTTGAACCACAGTTAAACCCAATTTTACACCAAAATAGTTTTTACGGAGATATATTTGTAGGTAAAATTTTGATATCACGATAACGGTACTTGAAGAAACAATGTTTAGTTATGTTCGTGAACTCATGATGAATACCCGTTGAGTTCACTTCTAAAACTAAACAAGTATTTTTACCGAACTTTTATAATGTGTACACCCGTTTAATTGAATTTGGATTCCAGAGAAACTCGAACCATTATCATCCTACTATCGCCCACGAAGCGCAAAACGAGCCCAAACGGTAACCCACACGAGAAGAAAAGCTGTTCCAACTGCAAGCGCCGGACAACGGTGAGAAAGAAAAAGCCCAGCTGCACACACATACAAAAAATAAAAATAAAAAGCCCAATCAGAAAGTACAGCCACAGCCCAACTTCCCTGGTGCCACACGGCGCCGTTTCTGCCGCCTTCCCGGCAGTGATCTCTCGGGTTTCACTTTCAGTCCGCCTCCTGTTTCCCCACGCGCGGGGAAGCATGTCTGTTTCGCGCTTATTAATGGTTCGAAAATATTCACCTGGATACGCACCCACGAATATTATTATTATATGCGGCCAAAAAAAAAACATTATTATTATAGTTTATTATTTATCGAGAATAATAATAATAATAATTTTTGTTTATAATTCTATTTTCTGTTTTCATTTTCATATTGCAAATTCTGAAATATAATAAAAAACAAAACAAATAAGAAAAACGAGGGGGGTGAAAAGAGAGCGAATTAATAACAAATCATCACTTCCTTTTCGCTGCTGTACACATCAATCGAAAGAATCGGTGAGGAAAAAAGGACCAGAAAAATAAAACAAGAGAATTCCGCCGTAAGGGCGCAGCGAAAGTTCTTCTGTTGGTTTCCCCTTTTCCGCCGGAGGAGTCATCCACGTCCCATTTTCTCGCCGCAGTGACGCAGCCCCCACCGACCCGGGAATTCTCGAGTTCAACTGATCGATTACTCGCCTTGCGATCGGCGGGCCGCCGATCGTGATTTTCCCCGCAGGGAAACGATAGGGAAGAGTTTCCCCCCTCGTCTCTTGTTAGAATCCCACTGGCGTGACGGTCGGTCTGAGAGTCGTTTTCGTCTCTTCTCTGGGCGTTGTGTTGCCGTATGGGGAATGCTCAACAGCGGCCATTGTTTGCTTGCTTGTGTTTCTCCGCTATTTTAAAGTGATGCTGGACTTCAGGGACGGTGGCGTGGTGCTGGCGTTAGGGTTTTGGAGGATAGTGTAAGGAATCTTAGGGTTACGGCCTCTTTTCGTTTCCTCCTTCTCTCTGTGGTTTCGTTTTCATCTGTGTAAAGGTGAAATGGAGATGGAAGAGACTTACGAGCTTGAGGAAGGAGAGGCTGGCTGTTACAGAGACGATGATGACGACGAAAAGGACAAACAGATAGACCCTGACGTTGCTCTCTCTTACATTGTAAGGGCCTAATTTTCCTAATCAAACATTTTGTTGGAATGAAATTTAGGGTTCTAGTAATTGGGAGTAAAATGTGCTGAAATTTGTCTGTTGTACTGTTACATGGTCAGTTATTTAGTAGCATGGACAAGATGGACTTGGTCTCAGGAGTTGAAATTTGAAAACATGGTCGAGACCATGCTTCAGAGTAGGATTATGCAAGTAATTAGGTGGGTCGGGTTCTATATATATATTTTGCAGTGATGATGAAACAGTGAAGAACAGTTAAACTACACTTATTTGTGAGGAGTTCCTGTTCTGGCTATATACCATATAAGTTGTCTGAACTACTACGCTGCCAATGGATTCATTGGAACATATCTTGTGGCAGCTGATGAAAAGTTCACGAAGATGGGAAGTGTAGAAAGTAATGGAAAAGTGGTCTGTAGAAATTCTTAGAAAGTCAACTATGCAGTATGTTAAGCGATCAGTTCATATATCACGATGCTAACTTCTTATGCAGTCTGTATGTCTTCTCTAGCGCTGGATTGGAGCATCGATTTCTTAATTCCCTTACTTTGTCTTTTTCTTGTTTTCTTATGATAGTTGTCTTTGTTATCCTTCTCATAGTCATACTATAGACAAGATTCTCCTTCGAGTTGTTAATATACACAATAGTATAGCATACTATATTTGTTGTATTCCATTTGGAATTTTGTACTCTGCAATCCATTTGTAGTTTAGCTCTTCTGTTTATCAGTCTCTGATATTTTGCATGCGAACTGAATTATGGCCTTCTTGTTCTTCAAGGATGACAAGCTACAAAATGTTTTGGGCCATTTCCAGAAGGACTTTGAGGGTGGAGTTTCTGCTGAGAATTTGGGTAAGTGACTTGTAATGCAAGTTGATAAGTCGTGCCAGAATTGTAAGATAATTTTGTTTCTCGGATACACTAGTACTAAACTGTAATTGTTTGCCAGGGAAAATGTTTGGTGGGTATGGCTCATTTTTGCTTGGTGATGAATCCTCTATTTGGTTACACCCAAAAACTTCACAAAACATCTCAAACTCGCCAAGATCTCCTAACCATTTGCAACTCAAGGTAACTTTAAGACTGTTCATTGGCTTATATTGTTTTGTTTGAAGAGATTTGTGGCACCTGTTATGTCAGTTTGGGCAACCATAGTTAAGACCTGGTGTTATATCATGTTACAGGGTGGCTCGTGGATGTCCAAACCAGCCCCAGGTGTACCTCAGACAAGACATAGAGGTGCTTCCTGTGGGCCCCGTGCATTCAATACTCCAGCTATGACATCTGACAATGTTTCTGTTAAACGAGATCCTTGTTTATCCTCCAATCAAGTTGGTCACAAGTTCAACTTGAGGGATGAAAATCCAAGTCAATCAGGCAACATACCTGACCAAAGGTCGCTCAAGTTCCGCATAAAAGTTGGGTCTGATAGTATGGCTCATAAAAATGAAGCTATATATAGTGGTCTTGGGCTGGGAGATTCCCCACCTTTGTCATCCGGGAATTGTCTCGATGAAGGTAGTGATATGCTGCTAGAATCATTTGAAGCAGATGGTTCTCCTACCAGCATTGTGCAGGTAACACCCCTTCAATGTTTATTTTAACTGCAGTCTACCTGCGATGAATCTAACAAGATGTGCACACGTTTTTATCAGGCAATGACTTCTTTCCCTGTTCCTGGGAGTAGCCTGATATCACCTCTACATGATAGTCTACTTTGTATCTGTAAAAGGGAAGGGCTCTCCAGGAGCGCCCAACCTATTATTGTCCTTAAGAGTAACAGAAAGTGTCCAGGGCCATCCGTGGATCAGTCCATTTCTGGTTGGAATTTGGTGGGTCGTGAGATGGAGAAAACTAATGTCTCTGGGAAAATCGAACCAGAAGTGGAGATGAAAAGTGGCAACGCTATGAAGAACCTAGAGGATCATAGTGAAGTTAAGGATACGAAGTATAACCGATCAAGAGCCGTGGCTCTCTCGGATACACTTTGTGCTCCCGACCCAGTCATGGGCCCTGGCCTCACCTCTCTATTATCCAAGGAGACTAATGAAGATGAGCTCAGGAATAAGTTGTTGCCTTCTGATATATTGAAGGAAGAATCTCTGGAGTCAATATTAGCCCCAATTAGTTGCAAGGTTCAGAAGGGAGATGCTGACGCTTTTTCAAGCAAGAAATCTTTGAAACGCGCTGTTAATAATAAGGATAGTTTGACAAAGCAAAGGAAGCTTGTTAGTATCAAATATGTCAAATCCACTGTGCCTTTTAAACCTTGTGTTGATGATTTGGAGGCAGGGGCTCTGTTGAAACTGAGCCAGGAAGCTACAAGTCAGGTTGAAAAGGGGACTTCCAGGAAAGAGGGAATTGAAGCTGTCAAGCTAGGTGGGAAGAAAAAGAAACTGGTTGAAGGCAAGAAGCAGTTGCATCAAACTGAAAGCCATAGAAATCCATCTGCTGTTATAAAGAAGGAAAGGTTTGATGCAGTTAGTGTCACAGCACCTAATCCTACTGTAAACATCGACCTTGATGTGCGTGGAAGAAGCAATACGGTTCACAAGTTTTCGCCAAAGAAGAATATCGATAAAACTAGAAAAAATCAGAGAGCTGCTGTGCACAATAGAGCGGGGGCAATGGATCATAGCTCTAGTCTGCCCTCTCTTTGTAGACTGAATAATTCTAGCATCAATACTGTAGAGGCGGAGCAAAGTGCTAAATTGAAGAAAAGTTCCAGTGTTAAAAGAGTTGATAAGCTTCGGATGTCTGGACTGTCTGTCAAAGGGGTGTCACATGTAGGTCCTCAAGATAATGTGGTCACTGAAGTGTTTCCTCCTGCATCTGGAGCTACTCCTGTGATAGTCAAGGAAGATTGGGTTGCCTGTGACGAATGTGAAACCTGGCGTTTGTTACCATTCGGCAGAAAGCCAGAGGATCTTCCAGACAAGTGGACGTGTAGTATGCTGGACTGGCTGTAAGTTGTTCTTTAGTTTTCTATGTCATGGTTGTTATCTCATCGATACAGGTTTTAATCAATTAAATTCATGGAAGTTAAAAAAATGGCTGATTGTTTTGCTAGGATTGAGTTCTAGTCCTCACTGGAGCAGCTGATTCTGTAGATATCTTTTCGGTTCTTTTTGGGTCTACCGTTGTCTTTATGAAAAGGCTTTTGCTTTTACGAAATATATTCAGTTTTAGCTGCAGGGATGGATTTCACTTATAGTCGACTGTAAAGCCTTTTATTTTCTAGAAATTTGATGAGAAGATGGAAGTGGTTATGGTAGCTGACTTAGTCTGGTTTTCTGATTTGGAACAATATATTCAGGCCTGGAATGAACAGCTGCGATATCAGTGCGGAAATGACTAACACATTTAATCAGATTGATCCACAAAATCCCGGTTATGGGGTTGCATCAGGATCAAATACTGCAAATCAAGGTAATAGCCAGAATCACTTGACTCTTGACTCGCTTGCCATGTCTTCAGAGGGAAAAGAAAAGCAGGTTGTCAAGGAAACAGCAAAAGCACGCAGCAACCATGGCTTCATCGAGAAATCAACTTCTGCTAAGAGCCGCTTGCTGGACTCTGTGAACAGCAGAAGCTTGAATGATATGTGCCAGCCAGTTGCTGAACTCAGTTTGGCGAACAGATACAGTTCACATCACATGAGTGAGTCAGGGAACTTGGTTGTGGGCACTTCCACAGCTAACTTGAAATGTACTATTTTTATGAGTTGATTTTTGTTTTCTCTCGTGGAGAATTTATGTATCTATCAGTTATCTGATGATGATTATCTAAACTTTGGTTCATAACTGTTGTCAGCAGGTGAAGCTGCAGAATCAAAATTGATTAACAAGAGTGAGAGTGATCATACTCCAGGCAGGAAATGTAAGAAATCAAGGATTGATGACATTGCTGCAGAGCGGAGATGTAAGAAGTCAAGGACTGAGGACATTGCTGCACACCGTGGCCTATCTGTTGACCTGGGGAGGGCAAGTCTCGGTACCAAAGCTGTTCCAAATATTAAGGATGGTGCAAAGCAGATCAAGTTATCAAAAGAGTGTGCCTATGCGAGGGATGTGAAGAGTGACTCTCAGGAAAGATTGTTGGGCTCTGTGAAGGTGGGACACCAAGCTCAAATATCTCCAGATGGTGGATCATTGAATGCTAGGATACCTGACAGAGCTGAAAATCTGATGAAAAAAAGAAAATTGAAGGAGTGGCAAGAGACTCGGCTCAGGGCTGCAACAAATTCCGGTGCAGAAGAAAGTTCTGGTAGTAAATTGAACAAGGAAAAGAAACTAAGGAAGCGTGTAGCTAGAGATCCTGGTACTAAGACTGTTCAGGATAAACTCCGCAAAGAGGGAGGGGTCCCAATAGTTTACCAAGGCGTTGATGATGACCCTGTGCATGTTTTTGAAGAAGTCAAAGATATTGACAAGGGTGCTCTGCAGCTTAAGAAACAAAGACGGAAGGTTGATTCATCAAGAAACAATGTGGTAAGTGCACAAGTGGCTATGACCACCAATTCAAGCTCTTCAAAGGTCTTGGATTCATGTAAAACTATAGCAACCTCTGATGACTTCAAAGGATCACCAGTAGAATCAGTTTCTTCATCTCCCTTTAAGGCCATGTTGCAGGAGAAGCTTGGAATGGCCAGAGGGGGCAATCTTGGGAAAGACAATGCTGTAAATGGCAGAACTTTCTTTGCTGAAGTGAATAGATGCGGGGATCTTTGTGGTGATGGTGAATTGAGTGAAGCTGGAGTCACTTCGATGGAGAAAGCATCTGGTAGTTTTCATTCTCAACCCCTCAAATATTTTCCATCAGATCACAGAGATGGACATGCTAATCACAGAGTCGGTGGGAAAACAAAATCTTCCACTGTGCCTGTTGGTAATAGCGTAAGTATGGAGCAACAACACTGTTGTTCTAGCGAATTGCTCGATGCCAAGAACATCCATGATGTAAATAGAGAGAAGCAAAACAATCGCGGATACACATTGTTGCGGATCAAAACGGGCAACGGCTCATCTTCATTGGTGAAGGTTCGTACTAATGCTTCCACTTCTGGGTTTGTTAAAGATAAAGTGAAGGCTTCAGATGTGCCGAGTGAGCAGTGGCCCAAATCTTCGAGCCCCGCTCGTAAAAGGAAGCAAGATAGTCCTGATAATTCTGGCGACGAACCTAGTAAAAGTGAGGATAATGCAAAAAGGAGTAGTTCTGTCGGACGATGCTCTAGAGACAGCAGGTTGAGACTGCAGTTGAATACTGGAGACTGTGATGATTCAGATGCAAAATTGGATACACCACTTGGCAAGAATGGAAATGTTAGCCCCTTGATTAATTCTGATGATGACAATAAGCGAGGTTCAACACGAGAAGACTCCAGAAACCGGATCCTAAAAGTACTCCCGTTTGCTGAAGGTAAAGGTAAACCTCGGAGTCAGGGTCATGAATCTGTACTGGGCTCTCAACAGACAGGTGAACTTCATGTTCTGTCTAGTCAAGCCTCAGAGAAAGGTGATATGTCAAAGGCTTTGCAACAACACCCTGGAAATCCTGGCAACAAAGGCGAGGCTTGTCAAAGTTTGAAACAGCTTCCATCTGCTTTCAGAGAGGCCAGAGGTCATAGTGCTAAGAGTCCCTTGAAAACAAAATCTTCTAGCCAGACTGCTAGTGATGCTTTGGAAAAAGCCCAAAAGCAGAGAGATTGTGCTGATAGAATGAAGGTTGCTCCAATTTCTGTTGTCCAAGCTGTTTGGATATCACCATGCTTGCTGCTCTGACTGGTGTTGATTTTTTTTCCTGAATTTTCAGAGCTCTGGTTTTGATTTGGAAAGTAGGGAAGCATATTTCCAAGCTGCTCTAGCATTCCTTCACGGAGCTTTTCTTCTGGAAGCTTCCTGCTCTGAGGGCGGTCAACATGGAGAGATGACTGCAATGCAAGTCTACTCTTCTACGGCTAAGCTTTTTGAGTGAGTAATTTTCCCCCCCACCCGGTGTTAATGAATAAAGTTAATATGAAGCTATTATAACTTCATGCAAATAGTAAAGAATGATAACACTTGATGCTATACCCTGTGTCAAATTATAGCTGCTGAGAGTAGAATCTTCAATTTGTGGACACTTTTCTTGATTATGTATTGGATAATGTCTGGATGATAAAGTTTGTTGGTTTTTGTTTGGTTTACCCACTTTTTCTTCTGCTTGCAATGGCAAAATAATAGCCAGCGAGGGCATTTATGCAGTGAATTTGTGTGTATCCAGACTGTTCATCTAATACTTGTTTCATGTGTTTCAGTTAAACTAAGAAGTAAGAACGCTGTTTTATGTGTACTCTTTAAGCCTTGTATCCTCTTTTTTAACTGCACTATCCTGAGTTGAAGGCTTCTTTGCAAATTGCAATAGCATGCTGCTACCCATTCTCTTATGCAGTTTATTTTCATTTCCAGATCGTGTGCCTTTGAATATGAAAAACAGAATGAAATGGCTGCTGCTGCTCTGGCGTATAAAGGCATGGAAGTAGCATATTTCCGGGCGGTTTCATGCAAAAGTTCTAGCTTGACTAAAGATCGGAACGAGTTGCATGGGTTCCTGCAAACAACTATCCAAGGTAATTCAACAAAAGGAAGCTGCATGCTTAAGGTTTTTGTAGCAGATCTTATGTTCACCCCCTTGTATATTTTCAATTTCCAAGATGTTAGTCTCAAGTCAAAATTTTGCTCTTCCAGTGATGGTGGATATGAATATTACTGATGCAACATGGTTTTTGAATGTCTAGGTGATTCACCATCTTCCTCTGCATCGGATGTCGATAACTTAAGCACTCATGTCACAGTTGATAAGGCTCCTTTATCCAAGGGAACACTCCCTCATGTTGTTGGAAACCCCACTGTTGTGCCCAGAAACCATGCCAGTCTCGCTAGATTGATCAACTTTGTAAGTCAACTGAATCTGTTGCCTGTTCCTATTTGCCTTATTGGTAGTGTGATTATAGCCCCTACAGACATTAGTAGAGGTCTATTGAAAAATGTGTGCTAAGGTAATTTTCTCTCTTTAACTTTACCGAGAAGTTGAATTGGAGATCAACAGAAGTTAAAGCATGACTTATCTCAGTATCTGTTATGTATAGATTTAAATTTATGACTGGAAGTATTCATATTTTATTATTATATGTTGCAGACACAGGAAATGGGTTCTGCCATGGAAGCAGCAAGAAAATACCAGAATGCTTTCATAGCTTTTAGTTCAGCGTCGGAAGTGTCACAAAAGACCGAGTTGATTTCTTCTGTCAAGGGAGTTTTGGATTTTAGCTTCCAAGATGTGGAACGCCTCATAGAGCTACTGCGGCTTGCAATGGAGGCTATAAATCGTTCGGGTTTGGATAATACCAAAAAGATTAAATAAAATCAAACCCTGTATATATATTGCTGTTTTTGTTGGTTTACTTCCCACAGGAGGGCTCTACTCAAAGAGGAAGGGAAGAAAAATGTCGCTTAGAGAATTCTACCCGAATGTGCAAAGATACTGGTCAAAACAGTCCACATCTTTGTGTACATGTGTACAATCTCGGGAGTCGTTAAAAAGAGATGTTCAGAAGATTTTGTAACTCAATTCTTTTTGGGGTCAGTGAAAGGAAAGGTTACCGAGGAGGTTGAAAGAGTAATGCATAGTGACTGGAAATCAGTAGGCAAACCATTTTTGAGGAGGTGGCTGAAAGTTCTGAACTATTGGTATATGAACAACAGGCCACCGGTTTGCCGCCATTTTTGACATGAATGAAATAGAAATGGAAATTCTTTTGGAGAAGGCTATTGCCTGTATCAATTTGCTTTAAGCTAACTGGTGCAGCGCCTTTTGGTTCCTACAGAGGCTACAGGTATGTAATCTCATCACATTTTAGTTTTAGCATCACATGGGTGTCTCAATTTTACTCCATTTATGTACGAGGTTGCAATGTGCCGCTAACAATTTGGTTCTGTTTCCTTCTTTGGAACAAAGATTGCGATCTTGCTACTGTTTGTTCGTTAAGTACAAGAATGAAAACTCGGGGGTGGTGGGGTTGCATTTTGATTGACAGGGTTGATTCGATAGCTGCAAGTGAGTTAGCAGGCCTGGTGAAGGCCATTCATCTTTTACTTTCGTCTTACCCACTTATTTTCTATGTATGCAAACGCCACTAAGGTCTGAACTTGCTTCTAGTTTAGCCATGATGAAATTCTTTGCTCTTGGTAGTATAGAAAATGGCAGCAGTTTGCGCCGTAGTTTCTTGCCTCAGTTGTACGCAACAGGTGGGAGACTAAGCGCAGAAATCCTTCGCTTGCTGCAATGTAAAGATTTTGCATCATATCAGGTCTTGAATAGGTTATATTTTGTGAAGCGGCTTCAGTTTGGCTTTTGCTACAGACTCGATTACCTTAGTGGATCTAATCCGCATGTACAAAAGCGACTCATTCTTGTAGCAGCGTCTCATTTGGAAGTAATGATAATTGGTATTCAGTACGAGTCTCTAAAAATGCCTATGCAATTTACTATTGTATCTGGAACTTTTTGTTACTATTCAAAAGAGGCACAAGTCACAACAAGGTCGAGAGGGTTACGCTGTTATATTATCCTATCCATGAGGCTACGATGGAGATTCGATGTTGGGGTCACAGTCTCGTACATTTTCTTAAAGGGATAAGCGGAACTGTGCTTAGGAGTTAGGGCGTCTGTTTGCAGCCCTAATGCCTTGAAATGTATCAAATACGGGAACCAGCTGCCTTTGTGTCTTCGAATTGCCAAGAGCAAAGAAGCATATGGATGTTTACAATGAAAGTGCACCTTACACCCTTGCTGTCATGGGTGAATAGCCTATATAACCAACCATCATCTCTATTACAGACGCTAACCATCAAACCGTTCCGGGTTTCGATTTGAGGCCCTATCTATCAGTGTTTATCTTTGTCCAACCAGAGTATCTGAAACTACTCTGCCAACAACAATGAAACTATCGTACACCAGTCGATTCTGTTGCGTCAGCCATTCACGGCGATCACTCTTTCATCTGGCAAAAGCTACAGGGCGGAGATGGTGGTGGCGAAGGCGGCTTAATCAAACTGTGATTGAGACCAACAACTTCTCCCCGAGATCATCAGTTTCTAGTATCCACCTGCCTGAAGACACACTCGAGCCCATCCAAGGCAACAAGCTCAGAGATCATGCCTGTCCGACTCTCCAAGTTGCAGAATGTTGTAAAGGTCTGTTCTGTTTGTCCCAGCAAGACCTGCGAAACTGGCTCACAAAGCATTTTTACTCAATGGAAACCGGTGACAGACCTCTTTCTTGCCTTCTATCTTGTTGATTCCACTCCTAGTAATGAATTACTTCTCATGTGTAGGAAAAGAAACCAGCGAGAGAAATGTGACAGACCTCTTTCCATCGTTTTACCAAAAATCCCTACAACTGCAAGATCCATCCCTAAAATGGTGAAACCTGTTGACATCTCGCACAATGAAATCTCTCTCTACAATTCCACTGATCGTCTTGAAAGCTTCATGACAATCCTTGCACATCCTCAAGTTCTTCATAACCCTAATCGTGATCCCTTTAGGTATCACAATCAGAGCAAAGGCCAGAGCCAGCCTCTCACTATGGAGGCTCACAATCTCTTCCTTGGCCTCCTGTTCCACCTCAAAGAAGACCAAACCGAGACTCCCTCCCGCATACCCTCTCTCCTTCATCCTGCCTTCCAACTCCCTCAGCAGTCTCAATACATCCTCCCCTCTCTCGAACGAAAGATCACCTGCGTGAAACACGAATGTGGAATCACGAATCTCGACCCAGCTGCACCCAGGATCCTTCACTACGCCAGCTTGCTTCATCTCGGACCTCAAATCATGAGCGATCTCCCATTCTCCTGTCGATGCATATGCATTTGACAACGTCACGTATGCGCCTGCCACCTGTTGGTTGGACTCGATCAATCGCCTGCTAGCTTCCTGAGCAATGTCCACCCGGCCATGGAGCCTGCTGGCTGATAGCAGGGTGCCCCAAAGGAGAGCCCCCTCCGTTGGGTTTTCCACGTGGATCGACTTGGCCAGCTTGTGAGCATCATCGAGACGACCCACTCGACAGTATATGTCCACTACACAGGTATAATGCTTTGCCTCGGGTTCTACTCCATGCTTCTCGAGCATGGAGTTCAGAAACCCAAGGCCTTCGTCCACAAGACCAGAATGGCTGCATCCGTGCAAAACTCCAACAAATGTGACATCATTTGGCTTGACCCCTCTCTCGACCATCTCTTCGAAGAGTTCGATTGATAACTTCCCAAGTCCATACTTGGAAGCACCAACTATGATCGAAGTGTACTCCACCACAGAAGGGCAAGGGATTCTCTTGAAAATCTTCCATGAGTAATCAAAGCATCCACTTTTGCCATACATATCGACAAGTGTACTCGTGACAACATCGTTTACCTCATGCCCACCTCGAATCACTGCTCCATGCGATGCTCTCCCTGCAACAAGCTTCCCCAAGCTCGAGCAAGCACTGATCACACTTGCCAACATGAAATCGTTTGCACGTACCCTCACCATGGAATTGAAAAGCCTGAAAACTTCAAGAGCTTCACTTCCTCTGCCATTCTGTGCATAGGCCGCTATCATTGAAGTCCAGGTAACAATGTTCCTGTGATCCATGGAATCGAAAACCGACCTGGCCCCATCAACATCGTTGCAGTTCCCATACATGCAAACCAACGAAGAGCATACCACAAGGTCGGTTCCGTACCCCATGACTTCAGCATGGGCGTGGATCTTCTTCCCGGCTTCGAGCTCTGCCAGAATCGAACAGGCTTTGACCAGCGTGGAAAGAGTGAAGTCATTCGGCTTAACTGATGTCTCCAACATCTTCACGTACATCCCCAGAGTGAGCCCGGCTTGACCGGAGGTCACATAACCAGCCATCAGGGAGGTCCAAGAGACGACATTTGGTTCAGGCATTTCATCGAACAGGCGGTGGGCAAGGCTTATTTCTCGGAGCCTGATGTAGCCATTGACGAGATGGTTGGCCGCAAAAGTGTCGCTTTTTGAAAGCCCAGATTTGAAGAAGCTGCAGTGAACGGAGGATACTGATCGGACATCGTTGCAGTTCCGGAGCTGCTGAATGAGATTGAGGTGGGACGATGGAGATTCCTCTTGGCGGGAAAGCTGCGAGCCAAGGAATCGGAAGTTTCGGTTAAGCGTCCACTTCATTTGACCGCGGGAACGAACCTCTGAACGGAAAGCCCTTTTGAATATATGTCAGTTGGGCCTCTCTGGGCTTCCCTTTTATTGGAAGAGAAAGCCTCAGTAAGCCCGTCATTTTCTCGATTATGGGCCTAACTTCGGCCTTCCTGTGATGAGCTCCCGCCTTCTTTGTTCTTTTTTCCTTTGAAATAATCATTATAATTTCTAAGTCAGCCTTAATTCTTTTCGTTGGTTGTTGGTCCCAAAATCCGAATTTAGGATGTGGTGGATGTTCTCATTCTCACAATATCATTAGGCCAACTCGTTGACGTTCTTAAGTGAGCGTTTTTTTTTTTTTTGCATTCAAGGAGGCCGAAGCCAAGAAAGGGAGGGATTACAGATCAGGAGGCGCCATCACTTGGCGCTCGAAAGAAACACCCATAAAATCATCCCGAAGGATCTGACCTATCTCTCTAGGCGGATTAGAGAGTTCATGCATACCGTAGGGATAGATGAGACTGTGCTTCGAGAGCCAGTCCGCAGCTCTATTCCCTTCACGATAAGTATGAACTATTCTAACCAGCCAGTTTTGAGCAATCTTTCTCCGAATAGCATCAAGCAAAGAAGCATATGGGTGAACAGGGTTCCGCCAGTTGTTTATCAGCTGGATGGCCAGCTGAGAGTCGGACTCAATCACAATATTGTCGCACCCCATCTTCCAAGTGAGCGTTTATTATCTATTCAAGTTTTTGTATTCACAGTTGAAAATAAATATATTAAAAGCATGTTTACTTCTCCTTTTTATTTCTCACCCTTTCTAAAGCAACAAGAATCAGCAACCAAACATAAATTAGCTAGATTACTAATTAAAATTGAATTAAATCAATGCATTTAAGGGAAAATAATAGCAAGTCGGTACGACAGTAAGGTACCTTTTCATTAAATTAAGTTCTTAAGTGCACATAAAAAATTTATTAAATAAGAGATAATATCAAACTTATTAATAAGTCTCTAAGTTTCTTTTCAACTCAAATAACATATTGGGTTTGTAAGATTAAAGACATAATCAAACTCAATAAGTGAGAATTTTTTGTTTAAATCGGGTGACAATGACGCCTCGTCTATTCAACTTTCATCGTGCTTTTTTGGTAACATTTCCACAAAGCCAACTTGATACATTATTGGTAACTAGCTAGAAGCAATGAAGTCAAACACAACAAGAGGAGGAGAGGCAAGATGAGATAAGACTTGTGAAAGAACACAAACTATAGAGAGGAAAAGGAAAGACACTAGAAACTGAAAAAAAAAAAATGAATGGACAACCCTACTCTAAGGCCATTTTCCTTCACAAATTGTCCCAAAAGTTGGTCTTCTCTTAAGGGCACTTGTCACTAGAGGGCACATTCACACATTATTGGAGCTGGACCTTCCCATCACCTCCATGAATCTCTCCATTATAGAGTCAAAAAAACAACAGGCAAGTGGTTTTGTACCTAATAGAAGATCTCACACTCTTTCAGTAAAAGGAAAGTATCCAAGCTTTTAGCTTTTCTAGATTCCCAAGCACCATTGTCCCTTCAATCACTAGCTCACACTTGCCCCTTCTCCATAACCCAATACAGTAGTAGAACCCAAAGGAAATTGAGGGAATTCTACCAAGGTTAAAACTCCCCTTGTAAATAAAAAAAAAACGGTAATGGGTTTTCAGTTTTCACCTTCCACTTCCACAAGATTGAGACACGCATATGGTAAAATCTTGGTGGAAAGATGGGTAATCATAGATCCATAATCAAAGTTCAATGGAGTGTGGTAATGGTAAGTTGTAAACAAAAAGAATCTAGCTCCTAGGGCTTCAAGGTAGGTGGAGATTTTTAGGAGAGTCTTTTGTTTCTCATTGAACGATGATGAATCTTATATGAATTATATAACTCTGCGAAGTACAACATATTGTTTTAAATGGACTCAAACTCGATGAATATTTTGTGTATTCACAGAGCATGAGATGAGTGATTTGTGTTTTATAACTCTTTATGAAGCTCTAAAAAGAATTTACTAGAACAATCGGTGATATGAATTAAGCTTAAAATTACATGTAACAACCCTTATATATGTTAAGAAGAAGAAGAAGAAGATGGTAGTGAGTACAATGAGGAAGCCTCCCTCTTCAATAATAGCCCTCTTGGTGAAGGATGATAACAACACTTGACTGAAAATGGTCTACAGAACAGCCGACAGTGCCATGATAAAGCTGCAAAAATTCTACCCTCTCATTTCATGTTTTCCATGCTAAACCCCCTTATGTTCTTCTTCTTTTCACAGAGAGTTCCAAATTGAGCATGCCATACTGTTTAGGTGAAATCATTGAACTGAATTATCGAAAATAAATTAAATATCAATTTTTTTTAAATTTCATATTTAAATCATCAGTTGTGGACTCAGAAAACCAAATGAATAATATCCTTTTACCGAATATAAAAAAAAGTTACTAAGAAATATCTATGCAGTACAATTCATTAAAAAATTTAACTATTATAAGTTTAATTTTCACGAACAACCCAAAATATTTTAATATTTTGAAAGTTCTCATGTACACTTCGAAATAGGCCTATTTCAATATATCTAATTTATGTATTGATCACATATTCGACAATGAACTAATTCATGATGTAGCTTAAAAAAAATGTAACTAGCTGCCAGGGGCGGACCCAAGGGTGTTTAGGGGTGTCCCCGGACACCCCTAAATTTTGGGAAAACGATTATCCAACCCCCAGTAGTAATTTACGTATTGACAAAAAAATTATAATTGATAGTCGGGGACATCCCTAAATTTAAAAAAGTGATTATCCTACTCTCATCTTTTAGTTTGAGGATGAGAATATAAGTCGTAATTTGGGTAATTCGAACCTAGGACACTTTTATTATTAATAAACATAATTTTCATTAGGCTACAACTCATGTTATTCGATTTTAAACACTGTGTAATAGTATAATGTCATTCTCTATCTCTAATTATTTTCAAAATCTAACAATTAAACAAATTTCAAGCTACCCTTAATTTGTATTGATTTATGGTTGTACAACAAGTATTGAAAGAGTCTTTTCAGCTTTGGATTACATCAAGAACAAGTTTAGAAATTGAATATGTGATCAGTTCGTGAATGATTGTCTAATATGATATACAAAGACAATTTTTTTTGAATAGTGTAGACCCCAAGTGTGTTCTACAATCATTTTTTAATATGAAAACAAAATGTGAATTTTTTCAAACTGTATGAGTAAAGTATTTCTTATTTAAATATTATTTATTTTTTATTAATTATTTTAGAATTATTTGTATTTAATTTATTTTTTAAAAGAGGACACCACTATGTAAAATTTCTGGGTCCGCCACTGCTAGCTGCCATGTCAACACATGCAACCGGAACCAATAAAGTCAATATTAGCTTCAAATTTGATTAGGGATTTAGGTATTTCAAAATTCGGAGTTTGATTTGAATGTTAAGATGATAATTAATCTAATTTATAGAATTACTTTGATAAAAAAAATGAATTGCAATTTAGTTCGTAAACATATTTTATTGACTTGGAGACTTAGTGCTTAGATCCTTAATACTACCATATAAGGTCAATCGTGCTATTTCAAAATTTATGGGGTGTCACAACTCACAAGACATTTCCTGAACCACTTGACCCCACTTATGACTACGATATTAAGAGTTAATTAAATACCAACTTTCGATCAGATACTCTTACATCGTATTAAGAACCTCTTTATCTTCATAATGTCATTTTCCACCATAACCTCAATTATTTTTTATTCAAGAAAGGGTGCTTGAATTTTTTTTAGTAAAACCCTACACCCTGTTTGTTCATGTTTGTACAAATTTGTATGGAACTCTTGCAAACTGTAAAGTCCATGCTATGGGTCCCTCTCCAACACCCATATAATGCATCCACTTGCCTAACACACCACGGCTACATAATAATGTTGGACAACATGTTTGTGTTTGAAAAAAAAAATCTACACAAAAAAAAAACAAATAAATAATTGCAGAACTTCCAATAGAAAAGCCCTCAGAATCCCTATAAATACCATAGCTTGTCTACAAAGATTGATATCACCAAACTCCCAAAACCATCAAACCCCTCTTGATATTTCTCCTTTCTCTCCCTTTCTTCATCTTTGAATCTCACCCTCATTGTCCAATAATGTCTCCTGTGCCCATTTCACAAATCAATACCGGCCATATCGATGATGTTCAAGAGCTAAGGAAGGCTAAGCCAACCTTGATTCCCGAGAGATTCGTGAGAGATGCAACCGAGAGGCCAACACTTCAATCCGCTAACCGTTTTCCGACAACTTGTGTTGTTCTCGATCACGATAGTTATGACGTCCCCATCATCGATTTGTCCAAACTCATGAAAGTGGATGAAGATGAAGGTTCGTGGAGAGCAGAGATTCTGAAGCTTAAGAGAGCTTGCCAGGATTGGGGATTTTTCCAGGTACGTTAATACAATCAATTTGTACCTAATTGTCTTTGTTTGGTAATGAACCCGAAAAATTCTCATGAAATCTCTCGCTTCTCGGTCAGGTAGTCAACCATGGGATCGATTTGAGCTTAGTTGAAGGGATAGAAGAGGTGGCAAAGGAGTTCTTCATGCTTCCATTGGAGGAGAAGCAGAGGTATCCCATGGTGGCAGGGACAGTTCAAGGGTATGGTCAGGCATTTGTGTTCTCTGAGGACCAAAAGCTTGATTGGTGCAACATGTTTGCTCTTGGAGTTGAGCCCCAGTTTATAAGGAACCCAAAACTATGGCCCAAAAATCCACCCAAGTTCAGGTAACTATGAAATGATTGGTGTCTTACCCTTTTCCCTCTTTCTTTTACTGTTCATATAGCACTATGTTGAAGTGGAAGTATATGGGTGTTTTTCCTTCTTTTTTTCCAACTCAAGTTATGAAGAAAGAAAAGGGTGTTGCTAGACTTTATGGGATACAAGTTTATTATGCAATAAAAAAGTATACTTTTGCGTATATGTTTTCTGATAAAGAGAAACGAAATCGTTTTGGTGATATTGATTTACAATATTTAACGATTTGTGGCGTCCATAGTAAACGATTTCTTAGAACCTTAACTAACATCACCCTGTCCTTATATTTTGGGTGCAGTGGAACTGTTGAAGATTATTCCAGAGAAGTGAGGAAGCTGTGCCAGAACCTACTGAACTCCATAGCCATAACTCTTGGCCTGAAAGAAGGAACCTTCAATGAGATGTTTGGAGTGGGAGTGCAAGCCATAAGGATGAACTACTACCCACCATGTTCAAGGCCTGACCTGGTTTTGGGCCTCAGCCCACATTCTGATGGGAGTGCACTAACAGTTCTCCAGCAAGGGAAGGGCAGCTCAGTTGGTCTCCAAATCCTCAAGGAAACCAAGTGGGTGTCTGTTCAGCCAGTCCCTAATGCTCTGGTCATCAACATTGGGGACACCTTGGAAGTAAGATTTGATATGAAATCTGAAGTTCGAGTTATTGTGATAGATTGATTACCGAAATGGTTCTGGTTGTTCTTTCGCTTCTAATTTCATTTGAATGGAACGACAGGTACTAACGAATGGGAAATACAAGAGCGTGGAGCACAGGGCAGTGACCCACAAGGAGAAAGACAGGCTTTCGATTGTCACATTCTATGCTCCCAGCTATGAGGTTGAGATAGGACCATTGCCAGAAATGGTGGATGAGATTAACAACCCTTGCACTTACAGAAGGTACAATCATGGAGAATACAGCAAGCACTATGTCACTAGCAAGTTGCAAGGCAAGAAGACCCTGGATTTTGCCAAGATCATTAACTAGCTTATGAATTAGCTAAATGTATTATTAAGTAAATAGTGTGGAACTTTATTATCAACTTTTGAATTAGCATTAGCAAAGTAGTAAGTAAAGTTGCAGACTTTTGTACATTATATGTTTCTATGGTGGGTCCTAAGCAATGATCATAAGGAACTACCCTTTTGTCAAAAGTTTGGTGGTTGGTTGATACTAATATGGAAAAATATGTCACTTTTCCACTGATTTTCATTCTTAGATTCCTTGACTGGGGAAACAAACATGCAATGATTTAAGGGCTAAATCCACCATAAAAAAAGAACAAAGATCTAGCTCAAATATGTCCCACTTCCTTAACTCATTTTGACATGGTTAGGTCTTTCATTAGATAGTTATTTATATATAAAATAGAGTTTGTTGGATTTTACTAGGGGTCGTTTGGAAGTTGTGATTGTTAAATAGATGTATTGTTGAGAATGCATGTACAATATTATACATGTATTGTCGAATTTGATGCATTGTAGAATACAATGTTTGGTATGTATGATTGTGTATGTCGCATAAGCTAAAAGCTGAGACAAAACAATCTCAACTCAACTATCTCAACAAAACAATCACAACTAAAAGTTGAGATATAACAATCACTCAAAATGAGTGATAGTTTCTGTCACATCACAGAAACAATCCATGTATTGTTTCTGCTAAAAAAACAAAAAAACGATGCATTGTAAACAATACATGCATAATGACAATCTCAACAAAACTATCGCAACTTCCAAATGACCCCTAAATTTTTTCGTGAATGGATATAAATTAGTTGCTTTATACCTCAATCTCGATCTCTCACATGTTAGAAGTTTCTTTAGTCTAGTGAAAGTTATTGGAAGGATCGTCATTGAAATTTGTGGGAGGTTACTAAATCTACTAAAATTTTGTGGAATTAAATAGATAGGTCGTCAGAAATCAACTAAACTCCTAACTTTCTAGGGTTCATAGGAAGTTATTATTTATTATAGTCTAAACAAAATTTATTAGGTTGGTCATGTTGTTGGAGTTCATTAGCAAGTTTTTTTAAGTATAGTTGATTGTTTGATCTCTCAGCTCAAACGGTTTGATCTCTCAGCTCATTAGCAAGTTTTTTTAAGTTTTTTCTTTGAAGTAGCTAGATAACCATATTATGAGATTTTTAGATCAAACGGTTGATGTTTCATCAACAAGTTGGTTACAGAGATACCATATGTAAACAACATATTCAGATTGTCGCGCCTTGTCTCAAACAAATTTCATTAAAAACAAGTTCTCCTAAGATAAACATTGATAGTAATTATTTGATAAAAGTACCGACTTCGAAATCTAAGAATTGGTGATACATCGCTCTTGCCATCTTATTCGAATCAAACCAACTTGAAATAGCGTCAAGTGTCGTGAACCAAAAAGTCAATCTTCTAAACCCGTGACTAAATGAAGAATAGGTACATTAACTTAAATGAAGAATAGGTACATTACTCAATCCACCAATCATGAGAGTAATTTGACGAAATGACTAAAATGTGATGCAATTTAGGTTTACTCTCTTTTCCCTTCCTGGCAATAAGAGAAAGTGGGCAAAATCATTTAGGGCCTCCTTCTATTGTTCAAAATGTGGATGGAATCTACTTTGACATTATTGAGTGCATTATAAGGGAAGTAGTTAAACATTATTGGCAGGAAGGAATGAAGAAAGCAGAAGCTTTTGAGCACATTGGTTCAATTCGAGCACTGAGGGGAAGCAAGTTGGCTTCATTTTGGCTCTTTGTTTGCCGAAATGACCGGTGCGACTCTGAGTGGTAAAACAAGCTGCTGAGCGCAAACAAACACAGAATATCAACTTTTTTAATCCGGCGAGAATTGTAAAAGAGAACTAGAAATAATGAAATAATTATGGAATTAGGATTCTAGGGGGAAAAAGGAATGGAAAATTCATGAAAGGTGTTCCTATTATTATACCTCAAAAGGGTAAAATGATGATGCAATTAGCAAAGTGGGGAAGCTCTTACTAACAAAATTTTGGTGATCCTCAAATCACAATGGACCGTAATTAGTGCTAGCTGTACATTTGATATCATCCACGTTAATGCTAAAAACTAGTGGGTTGAGTTATTGGACTGCCTACGAAAACCGAGATATAATATATTTAAATTCATCAAATTACGAAAGTGTTTTTTTTTTTGAAGAATTTCGATTTCATAAGAAGAATATAAAAAATAAGTATTTGGTAATAGCTCGAGTTTATCTATGAAAAGCTAGTGACAAGTTTCTTTGAGGGAAATTTATTAGGTGCTAATACTATTGACATTACCATCTAAATGTTTAAAATAAAAACCCCAAATTTAAATAATGCTTAAACTTTGGAGAAAATTTGAAACTTATACTATCTTTAACGACTCTATTGAAAGAGAAGCTACAATTTTAGTTACATCATGAATAAGTTTACATTCAAATATAAGATAAGTTCACAAAAGAGAAATAGTGAAGTAGACTTTTTTCAAAGTGTGCACGATAAATTTGTTTGACATTTCTCTCAAAATACATAATTTTTTTGGGTTGTTTATGAAAATTAAACTTGTATTTGTAAAAAGAAGATGAACTGCATTACATAGATATTTCGTAATATATTATGTAGAGAGACATCTATTGTAAATTTTTTTTACTCTGCCACGAAAAACAGTTGATTTATATACAAGTTACATTGAGTTTCAGCCAACTTTAAACTAAGATCTTAACATTAATTTTAGGGTAATGTCTATTTTTTATCCAAACATTTTCAGATTCTTTTATATTATTTAAACCTATTAAAATGCTATTATTTAGCCAAATCTTTCGTAATGCATCAAAATATTAGCCTTGTAACTTTTTTCTTAGTTAAAATACTAAAATTTTGGAATGTTGACATTCATGTGTCTTCAGTATCATGTTGTCAAGTCAATATTACTAACAAAATTGCTAATTGAAAGTCACCATTTGACTAATTCTTAGTATTTCGATAAATTTGGATAACATAAAAGAATTTGAAAAAGTTTTGGATAAAAAATAGACATTACCATCAATTTTAGGTTAGTGGCTTCTACTCAACAATATGACATGCTCAACTCGGAACTTTGTGATCCTTCACTAAGGAGGCTATTATTGAAGAGGAGGCTTCTTCCTTATACTCACTTCCATCATTTATCATTAGGTCTTCCATTAGTAAAATAAGAGGGTTGTTACAATGTATTTTTAAGTATTGCATCCTATCGTTCTAAGTACAATATCTTTACAGGCACATGAAGAATTCTAAATTCGAATAATTTATTATTGTGAATTTACTAGATATTCATTGAGTTTCTTAAATATATGTGTTGTGGTCTGCAATGATAAGTTAAATCACTTCTATCGTTGACTAAGAACAAAAAGATCGTCCTAAAAATCACTACCTTGAAGCCTATGAGCTAGATTTTTTTGTTGCCTTGCCTACAATTTACCATTACCACAAGCCATTGAACTTTGATTAAGGATCAATGATTACCCCATCTTTTCACCAAGATTGATCATATGAGTGTCATAATCATGTGGAAGTGGGAGTGGAGGACCATTACAATTTTTGCACAGAGAGTTTAACTTCCTTTTGGTTCTACTATTGTTTTTTCAGTGTATTGGGTTATGGAGAAGGGCAAGTGTGAGCTAGTGATCGAAGGGACCTAGGTGTTTGGGAATCTAGGGGCCCTTTGCTTGAGGCTTTTCTATGAGTAATTTGGTACTAAATCAACCCTAGGCATAAACTAGTGTCAAATAGCTAGTTAGCAAATAGGGGGGGAAATGAGTCATTTGGTTCCAACAAAAAAATCCATATTACTCGTTTTTCTCCGCTACATTCATAACTCTGTCCAATCATCCCTAGGCATAAACTCATTTTTTTGTTAGGTGTTAGTACTGTTGACATTAGTGTCAAACAATGATGCGGTGACGATAGCAAAATATCAACATGCATATAATTCTCTCCTTTTAAACCAGTTCGACTAATATGCTAACGTACATATTTATTAGCACATGCTCACACGACCTAGATTTTGTCACACAGTCTGGAGCTTATCTAAATGCATGGTTGGAAATGAAGGTCTTGGAAAGGGTTTGAGAAGGGGATAAAGAGGCTAACTCAAACCATTTAGCCAAGCCAAACCAACTTTCCTCCTCACTCTATGACTCCCAACAACCCAAAATTCGCAACTCAAAACAAAAAGAGGCAGCTCACATTTATTTCTCATTCTCTCTTTTGTTTGTCTGCACTCTTTTGCTCGCGTCTCTCTAATTCAAATAAGAGAAATCTTCGGACAACAGCAAGTTGTCATCTTCAAGGCAAATCGAACTCCCCTCAAGCAGTTGGACGAGTGACTCACATCCTCTACTCATCATCGTCTCCAAGCCTTCTCCATTTTAACACTCCTCTTCGTTCCTTGCATTCTTATCCACTGAAACTCCTAATTCGTTATACCACGAGTTTCGACAGAGGAGGATCTTCTTCAGAAAACCCTATTCTCTCTCTCCCTTTCCCGTAGATGAGCTTATGGGTTTATCCCCTTCTCAAGCCCTTCCCAACTCCTCATTTCCCGTCATCCAGATCAGCTTCGAGCCGTGTGACAAAATTTGGGTCATGTGAGCATGTACTAACAAATATGTCTGTTAGCATAGTAGCCAGATTGTCTTTTAACAAAAAGTAAATTAAAGTAAAGGATACTTGAAGAGTCGTAGTTAATTGAAATAAATTGTATTTCTACCGACAAGTAGTTAGTTAAATAAATTATTCCGGTAATGGAAGTGGGGAAATGAAGTGTGACCACAAATGCATGAAAATTAGCAATGATGTAATTAGCTCTTAAGTGGGGGATTTTGAGGAGGAATCAAACTTAGTTTCTTCTTACCAATGTTCTCACCATTATTGATCTTTTTCAACTTTGTGGGTTGGAAGGGGGGAAAAAGAGAGGAGAGGCAATCATGCTGCCATCAACTTTGTGGACAAAACCCAACAAAGGAATTGAGGGGAAAACGACAAATTCAATATTTGAAGAAGTTCGTTTAGACAAATAATGAAACTTTCCATTTTGAAACGGAAATTATTCATAGGGGAAGAAAAGAAGGCAAATAAATGTTGGAGGAAGAAAGAAATCAACAGTGATGCAATATTGCAATGCCAATATAGCAAATGGAAGCCATCAAATCCTGTCCCGCAGCCCATGGAACGGTCACATTGACTAGACCCAACCAACAGAAAACCAGAGCCCACAGTTTCATTGAGTGATGTATTATGGGACCTCTGTAGTATTGCCTTGCTACACACACAAACTGGGAGTTTGTCTTGGGACTCTCTATGCCCTCTACGAGTTACTTGCGGTTCGGGATGGTCTGTGTTTTGTTATTGAAGGAGATTATGATTGAGGTTGTTATTCGTTAGTTTCAACTTTCAATAACATTGGATGATTATATGATTGGTGAATCTTTTGCCTTGAGACTACCTTCAGTGGATTTTTGCGGCCTGTAGGGTTTAGTGTATAATTTACGGCGGGATCAAGATTGGTTAACTAGTTAGGGCGTCGGTAGAGTGACCGCGTAAAGCTCTCGCTATGTCTAGGCTAGAGATAACTTCATTCGACTTACTATGGGTTGGAGATTAGTGTGACGAGGTTTGATCGTATATGATTTTTTTCCCCTTCTTCTTAGCATAGCTCGGTAGAATAAATTTCAAATGCTCTAGAGAAATATCTTTTAGGAGGCATATTTAGCTAAATTTTTGTCCATCCTCGCGATCTCAACAATGCTTGTAACTCCGAGGGTGTGACGAAACGACCGGTCTTCATATCTTTATTGCTCAGGACGATCATCATATCTTTTATTGGTGTTTTTAAAACGAGACAGTTGCAAGTTATTCTATCTCTTAAAAAAAAAAAGTTGCGGAGTAGGGTTAGGCCAATTTGACTAAGGTGCCACACAACGATCACAACTATCCGATCAGACGTCAACAGCTTCGTAATCACTGAATAATATAGTGACAATTTTGTACATAAAATGCCGTGCATTCATCCGGCGGGGCGCGGGACGCTCAATACCCGATCGCTCGGTTCTAGACGTTGTTTAAGCATATATGTCCTTACAAATAGTGTTGTAAATCACCATCGCCAGATTCGGGGACCGGGCGACATGTAAGTTCACCAAACAATTACTGTGCCGGCTGGCTGCTAGTGATGTTTTGCTTTGCTTTGGTTGCTTCATATTGCGGGATGTGAAGAGAGCCGTGAATTATGCTTTCCCCCCTATAGTTTGGACCATAAACCAACCTTTCACTTTCATTCGACGCACATTTGTCCTTCCTCATTCGGCAGTTCACTTCCCTTCCATTTTGTGAACCAACCCACCTTCAATTCCTTTTGTGCTGCCACAACCCCACATTATGCTCTCAGCAAAGATTCCTTGTCTTGTTTCCTATAACCTTCTTTCTTCCCTGCTCTACTTTCTCAAGCCTATTACTGCTGCCACAGAGCCCCACAAGCAAAAAAAAAAAAAAGTTCTTCTAGTGCTACCAAAAACTCACATTCTATGCATTGATTCCTCGTTTCCTTTCCTCTACCTTATTGCCAGCAAATAGGGTTGTTCATGAACTAAATAGCTCACAGCGTCCGACTCGAAAAAAAGCTCGTTCGATAATCGACATTTTATCAGCTGAACTCGATTTTTACTCGTTAAACTCATCTGACGAGGCGAGCGCGAGCTTACCTATTAAAAACTCGTGTCGAGCACAAGCCGAGCTCAAGTTTGGAATTATTTTAACAACTCCGTTTAACAACCCTACCAACAAAGCCGCCTACTTGGGTTCTCGCAAAGAGATCAAACAGTCTCATATAATATGTATGGTTTGGCAGTAGGCATGTAACCCAAAGAATATACTCAACACCGTTCATCACATCAAAGAATAGCTTCAGGAGAACAGAAAAGATGCACAAATGGAGAAAGCAACATAAACAGTTCCATTAATGTCCCGATTTGCGAGTCCCAAAGGCAAAGCAAGATTTGCCTCTTGGATACTCCTCTTAATCGTGGAACTAAATCACAACTGCACACGTTAAGTACACATCTAATTACGTTCATTTCATCGTCATCTTCAGCCGAGAGCCAGCAACCCAAGCACGATAAGGTGAGTTCAACCTCGTCGATGGCTGAATCAATTACAACCATTTGGATCACGGGGATGCACATTATAGGGACTTCTTTACAATCAGGCTCTCGCAAGGATTAATTTACAAGAAACGAGCGACCTCTCAGGCTATCCGGGCTCCGAGCAATCACACAGAGGAAGGTTCGGCTTGATTTGTCATTTGTACATGATTCTCATTTTCCTCAGCACTCATGTACGAGTCGCCTGTTTTTTGTGCGTGTTCGACCTACCATTGTCGCCATTTGATTGATTCGATCAGGAATGTGGCTAATTTATGCCAGGTATCTGAACAAATTGGGGTTGTCTCTGTCCCTCTCGAGATAGTCCCGACTGATCAGGTCTTCGATCCGCTTCTTGATTGCTTTGATATCAGGCTGCAAATTTCCCAGTTAGAAACTTGAATTGAAAGGTATCGAAAGAGGAGAGAATAACAGCTGAAATAAGTACACTCAAGATAGTGAAACCAACCTTGAACATGCGGCCCAACTGTGCAACACATTCCATTACCAACGGCTGGTGACACAAAGTTTTACGACTCTTCATGATACGCACGATGGAAGCATCAATGGCGTACCGTCTGTCCTTATCGACGTCTTCTATGACTTTCTTCTTCTCATCCACTGGCGGGAGGGGGATCTGCACATACAACAGAGCCAGTAGATATTGACATTGGTAGTTGACGGGATATTGAAAACAGTGGTGTGGAAGAAGATTTGGAAGAGAAGCTCTTAGCACCTTTATCCTCCTCATTTTGTCTGTAAACTTCGTGTTGAATTCGAAGCTATCAGTAGGAGAGATGGTTTTTGTGTTTGGATCTTTGATTAGAATCTTGTATTTCGCACAGGACAAAGAATGGAGCAATCTGACGACATCATCATCGGTCAGATTCAATTGGGCCATGATCTCCGAGTAACTCAGTCTATCTGCAGTGTTGAAGAGCAGCAATGCAGATGCCTGCAAAAGGCATACTCAAGGTTTAGTAAATGTGAATGTAGGGGTCAAGGTTACCCTTAACAAATAGAAAAGAAGATTAGTAACAAACTAAAATCAAATAAGACAAGCATGAGAATCAATCTCCTCAGTTGTATTACCTGATATGTGGTCACTATGAGCTCCATGGTTTTTGGTTCGAATTTCCCAATGAGGTTGCAGGTCCCGAGAGAGTATATCCAAGTAATTTTTCTGTGCTTTGTCTTTGTTTGATAAAATTCTCGAAAAACCTCAACACATTTTACCTAAAGGATAACCAGTTGAGGGAGACTAGAACAGTAAGCCCCACGCTGACATAAAAGAAGAACTACAAACGATTCCACGAGAGAGAAGAGGGGGAGGGGGAGGCAAAAGTGTACCATCTCTACTGGAAGGTTCAAGTCAAAGGACTTGTAACTTGGCCAGAACCCAGTTGTCAAGACTGTGACCGTCAGGTCGATGCCTGGATTTGCATTGGCATTATTGCCCAGATACTCCTCAAAACTAGTCTGGTTCTCTCTTGCCAGTGTCAAATCTGTCACCTGGAAGCCAAATAAATTAAGCAGGAAAACGCTGAGCTACTAATTCGCTGACCAAGAAATTAACCGATGCTTCAAGAGCCATAGCTGGATATAAAGAGACTTACCATTCCCTCCATCTTGGAAGTAAACTGACCACCACATTGCTGCTTTAACTTTGTCAGGATACTTCTCTCATGGTCATCATTGGCACTCTTATCAAAAAGAAGCCGGCGGGCAAGCTTTTTCCTGTGGAAGCCAGTAGAGGATCATTTATTCATCAGAGAATTATATATCTAAAAGAGTTTCGAGTACAATATCTAGGGGAAGACTGAGCTTACCTATAAAACTCAGCAAATAAGTCTTTGTCACTTATATAAGCAAGAAGCTTCACCACCTACAAATTAATAGCAGCCAAAACAGGTTATGAAATGGTTTCAGTACTGATACAAAAAGGAATATAAACGGCAGCGAGAGTTTGCTAGACCTTTTCCAAAGTTTCCTCAATAGCTTCATCACTGAGTTTCTCGCTTCCTCCTTTCTTAAGAATATTGTCACAAAAAGTGGCTAATAACTCTGCACTTGAACTACCAGAAACGCCCTTGTTGCAGAAGATCTCAAAAGCTTCTTTCAGAGCCTGTATATTGTATTGACCATTCAAATGAAGTAGATTTCCAGACATAATCGAATTGGTATGCCTATGAATACACAAACACACACCTTGTGGAAAAGAGTGTGGTTCTGGAAGCAATCATTGACATAAGCCAGATACTTGTCATGCAGCTCAATCACCTTCCTAACAAAAACCTGAAGACCAACAGAATCAGGTTCTGACAAGCACAAGCATATTGACATTTCAAATAGAAGGAAAACCGAAAAACATAAAGACTAACCTGCTCTTGCAAACCAACCACATCCTTTTTCTCTGCCTGTAGGGAAAACGCAAATAACTAAAATCAGAATGAAAACATTCTCTTTACCACCAAATAACAATGCAAGACAAACAGAGAGATCTTGAAAGTGGTCCAAATAAGACAACAACAGACGTGAAAAATAATTCACCACAAACCCCCACCATCCTTCACCTGAGCTAGCCACGTACACAAGCCTTACCCCAGGGCCTTTGTCACCTTCAACAACTATGCATGTAAGAGGTACAAAAAGCAAGTCCCGCTGCGAAGGCGCAGAGGTGCAGGCACCTCTGCAAAGACAAAAACGCTAGTGCTCGGAACAGATAGCTCCTATGCTCACCTTGCACTCAATGACCATGGTTTACAGTATTCCTTATTACCCACGTAGTAGCATTTCAGGGATCCAGTTTAATAAAATGGGGCGTGAAATGAAAGATAACCATGCAGCAACACGTAGCAAGTATAACCTGTCAGGATTCATTTGCATAAAATGATGAAAGTTATGTACCTTCTTGTTGCTTGCAGCATCTTCAGCCTGTTTTACCAAAGCTGTACCTTCACCAGTAACATGCTGCAACATGGAACCAAAACTGTCTTAGGGCAAAGTAAACAAAGTGTAAAAGCAAGAAAAAGCATTAAATTGAAACGAAAACACTAAGTTGGTACCAACCTGTTTGAATATACTAGAAACAGGTTCTAAGCCACGAGGTATTTTCGAAAAGAGCCTGAACATTCTTGATAAATCATTAACCTAACCAGAATACAGAATATACATTAAAAAAAAGAAGACGACCAATTAATTCAAAAAACTACCAGGCATCCAAAATTGATAACCAAGTACATCGTTATCGCCCTACCTTGTCATCCCTGAGCAATGCATGGCATCCTGAATGTTCTTTCTCGAGGAGTTGGTTTCCATAAACAGTAAGCAGTTCATTTTGGACTTTCTACAACGAAGAAAAGCACCGTAGAGGACACAACATTAACAGTGTATACTGATACTTTAACGGCTTTCTTAACACTTAATGCCAACATCAGCATAGAACTTCAGGTATTGAGCAAGAAATGTCAAGTCATAACCCCAGATATATTTAACAGCAATGAGCAAATCTTAAAAATCAATAACAACCTCCAACAACTTGGGCTCACTACTGGAATGCAGGTAATGAGAGACCCTCTCTTTCTCCCTTTTCAGACACTCCTCAGCCTGAAATAGGAACCAAATGAATTAAGGGCCGCTTAGGTGAGAAATCCTATTCACATTTCACGAAGTTTTTAAGGTTCTCTGGCTTACTTTTAACATGTAATCTGGACAGGAATCTTCTAGGATCCAGTTTGAAGCCTTGCGAGAATAATAAGCAGCTGTATCTTTGAGCATAGCATCTTCGAAGTCATTTTCATAGTAATCCATTTGTCCCATACCAATTTCAACAAAAATATCCAAAATATTTTTTAACAAAGCTCGGTCAATTTGTTCTCCCTCGCGCTCTTGGTCAATCTGAATATGAAAAAAAATACCAAGTCAGCATCATGAAACAGTTAAGCAGAAATATATTCGAGGTCAAGTAGGCTATCTTACCAAAGAAATTACAGCATCTCTCACTTTCCCATTCAATTCTAGGTACACCTGAAAAACAACAAAATACATGAGCAGATAACATAAGACCACAAGTCACGGATACATGATTATAGAGTAGTTCAGCAATAACGTACTAGGTTGCGGAAGCAAGTAAGTCCAACTTCATTAAGCGGAGAAAGTGACCTCCGGGCGATGAAGTACCGATCAAGGTAATGAAAGAAACGAGAAAGCCATCTAACCATGACTTTATGGTTTGTCCATCTCTTCACAAGCTCCCTCAACATGAATTCATCATGCTTCTCCCTCAAGGATGGTAATACCTAAATCAGATCACATAAGTTGAAACAGAGAGAACCAATCCATCGAAAATATAACACATGGTTCACGAAAAACTGCTGCATGGGCCTCACCATTGACGTAATGTAGTCTTCAAAGGCCTCCCGGTACTTGTCATACAACTGCTGAGAGTAATCATGAGGAGGCTTCTGAGTGCACATGTTGTAGATGGTTCTACAAGTACCATTAAGGAAAACAATGACAGCCACAACGAACGAGACGGTAACAAGAAAATCCTCTAACTAATTATTGGCCCAAAATTTTGGATACGTGTACAGCATCATGTAGTCCTCGGAGCTGAACTGTGGCTCCGGTAGTCCTTCCAGGATGTTCTTCAGTTTAGTGATCCCCTTTTGCATAAACTCCCATCCTTGTTCTAAGTCGATCATCTTCCGCTCATTCATGGTCATGTCTCCGTACCCTTAGTTATAGCAATCAAGGCCAGGAATGACTGCAAGATTAACCTGCAGATTCTACTTGCTGTCACACTTCAATCATAAGCAGTAGCTAATTGAGTAAAACTACACTTCAACAAAAACAGCATTATCTGCTTTCAAAATTCAAATAACCTAACAACTCAGGATCCTACGAAAATCCAACCTCCACAACTCACAAACTGAAAAAGAAGAACATCAAATCGCGATCCTCAAACCCTAATCACTCCAGGGAGCAGCACCGTGAACGAAGACATAGCAATTCAACAAACTCAAGCATTCTAACCAATCCAACTGGCGGAACACTAAGAATTCTCCCGTTCAATCACTCCCCCGCTACAAGCGCAAGTTCTCGAACAGCAGCAGCAAATGAGAAGGGAGCCTCGCCGGAGTGTGAAATCGTTTTAAGAACAGAAGAGATCAAGACGCGCGCGATCAAGCATCGCCGCCGGAAGTTTCATTTTCCAACTCTCGCAAACATCCGCAGCAGTTGAAGTTTATAGTTCACAGTGCTTAATACACCAACACTTGAAGCAGAGAGTACAGAGAAAGCATACCTGGACCAGGTTCAGATACGAAGAAGAAGAAGAAGAAGAAATGATGATGATGTGGAAGGAGGAGAGCCTAGAATCTCGGTATGAAGGAGACGCAGGTGGAAGAAGAGAAGAATGAGCTGTGGACATAGCATTGATGAGGCTAGAGACAGTGCTGCGTACTGGTTGGGAGAGAATGAAAGATCATGGAAGGATTGATGTAACTTCCCTCTCTCTATCTCTCTCTGTTTTCGAGTCTGAAACTATTCTTTTTCCCGGTAATTATTTCAGTCCTTACATTGTGCAGAGTTACCAAAGTAATCCCTATACAAGGAATATTTCCAGATCCAGTTTCACACTATATGAAATTTAACTTTTGTGGGAGTCAGATAGATCAAAGTTGCTCGGAAAAACATATGTTATTAAGAACTGAGATAGTTGTTAGTTCTTCTTTTTCTTATTCATGTTTAGTCATATTGGTATGGTCCAAAGTAAATTTTTTCATCACTCTTTCGAAAATAGGAAACAATAATATAGCGCACATGGAATAAGAGAAGAGAACATAATGAATAGATAAAATTCGTTCGTCATCGCTATGACTTACCAAAGGAAGCAGGTTGGTGGATGAGGGGATTGAAATGTCAAAAGAAGCGAGGGAGGAGGAACAACGAAAAGGGAGGGATACAGCTGAAGAAGAAAATGAGGGACGATCGAATGGGTTGGTTTTCAACTTAGGGGTTAAGGAATTTGATTGTGTTCAACGAGTGGGTGATGGATGCAATGTTTGAAGGGGTCGATTCGTACTTTTTATTGGTTAGCAGTTCCTACAATATACACAAATGAAGCCTCAGTCTACCACTCATTACTCTATAATAACCTACTCTATCCATGTTCGATTGACCATTTATTGGAAAATTATAGTTTGTTTTCAATCAAACCCGTCAGTCGGAAATTGGAACCACTCTATCGTCTCGATCTTTGCAGTGCTCCATTACGAGCACATTTAACTTCATAGTTCCTACAAGAACTCATCAATTTCACCTCAAAACGCATCTTGTTAGTTAAAGTTGGATGTTTCTTATGAATAATAAACCTTACTCGTACTTTCTCGACCTGGGATTTGCATTAGATGTTATATTTAAGGACACATCAATTTTTTGGTACATGTACTTTTATGTTAACATCACAATTAATGGAACTACATGATTAGTAACATTTTTCTCTTAATTGAACTTAGGCCTTGGTGGGACCGAGGTGGTGGGAAAAAGTTCCTCTCACTCACCTCTTTTAAGTGATTGCGTTAGATGGCTGCAAAGAGATTTTATTAAATTGGGATGGGCAATAAGAAGGCAGATAGTTGATGCCTAATTACTCTATCTGCTGATCGTTTGCCCACGTTTATCTTTTAATTATTGAGGATTATAAACAAATGGTGCGATTAGTTTCCGTGTTGTCCAAATCGGATTTTGGATCCATAATTCAATCTAATTGTTCTCTTTTATCATTTCATTCATCTAAAAACTCGATTGTCGCAAACTTTCTAATAAAAAAACAAAAGATTTATCATAAATCAGAATAAATTCTCAGAGCTGGGTTGGGCTTCCGTTTTATTAAACGGTCAACTGGCCCATCTAACGTCTAATTACACACCTTGGGCTTTTTAATTCTCAGCCCAGTCAACAGCCTCTCTTTTCACCTGGTGGGCTTTTCAATTTTCATGCTGTGGATGGTGTTAGAACAAGAATACAAGATATAGTCGTCTCAAAGTGGAAGGACTTCAAAATAAACACACACAGTAATGACAGTATATTCTAAAACCTCTGTCCATGGCTTGATAGATCTCCAGTTATATGATGGATTTTTCGACAGAATCAATCACCATGCTGATTGATGGCACGAACGGACCCGATAGCTTCTTCCAGAGCCTGCATGCATAAATACAGTATCGATCATTCGGACAAAGCTTATTCTATCAGCAGGACATGGTAGTACTGTACTGCATGGATATTTTGATACTTGGGTTTGGGAAACACACACCTGCCGGAAAAGAGTATGGTTCTGGAAGCAATCGTTAACGTAATCCAGATACTTGTTATGCAGCAGGTCAATCTCCTCCTCCGCAACAGAAACCTGAAGACCAAGAAAATCAGCTTCTGCATAAGAACAAGCACGACCACATTGCAGAAAGAAGGGGAAACCGGAAATTGAAAAAACAGATTCTTTTATCTCTGCCTGCAGGGGAAAAAGTGAATGTAACCAACAATCAGATGCGAAACATATACTATCCACCTGCAACTCGGATGAAAAATAACTACTCTGATCTTGACACCAGTCCAAATAAGATGACAATAGAATGTGAAGCTATGAAAGAGAAAAATGTACCATGAAACTAAGCCGTCCTTCGCCTGAGAGGCTGACACAGGCACAAGCCTCAGAGTCGTGCCTTGTAAAACTATATATAGTGAATTCAGTAGATGGAAGGAGCAAGTGGCACTGCCTAGGCTGTAGGCTCAAAGGGGTGCCTCCCGGCAAAGTGCCATATTGTGTTTCAAAGAGAAGAAAAGCTAGTGGTCTGAACAGATAGCATCTCTGCTCTGCTTTCCTTGCCTCGAATAACTACGGTTTTCAAGCTCACTTATAGTCCAGATAATAGCATTTACTACTTTAGGGAATCTAGTTAATTTTGACATGCTTATTGCATTCTCATATTCACCTCAATGCAAGCAAGTCTCCATCAGAAGTTCAACATAGAAAATGAAAAAGGTTAAAAGACACTTGGAAAAAATTCACGCACAAGCTTGAAGCTGCACACATTCTGGACGATGTCTCGCCTCGGGATAGACCAGTAAATGAGGAGGGGAATGCAAGGAGAGAAAGCCAGGGTTCACACGGGATAACCAGAACCTTTCCATGAATACATTTGCCTAACTAGTAAAGTTCACATACCTTCTTGTTGCTTGCAGCATCTTCAGCTCGTTTTACCAAAGCTGCACCATCAGCACTGATATGCTGCAACATGGAACCAACACTGTGTTAGGCAAAAGCAAAGTGCAAAACAATAAAATGAACAAGCGATTAGAATGAAATATGCAAAGTTGATACCGACCTGTCTGAATAAATCAGCAACCTTTTCTAAGCCATATGGTAATCTTGAAAAGAGCCTGAACATTCTTGACAAATCATCGACCTGAACAGCAAGCAGAATATATGAAGGGAAAAAGGATCAAGTAATTCAAAAGAGAAAAGACACCCAGGCATGAAACAAAATGTACATTGTTATTACCCTACCATGTCATCTCTGAGCAACACGTGCAATCCTGAGTCCTTGTTCTCGAGGAGTTGGTTTTCATGAAGAGAAAGCAGCTCGTTTTGGACCTTCTACCATGGAGAAGAGCAACATAGCATACAAAATATTAACAGCTGATACAGATACTAGAAAGGGAATCCTTAACACTCTATGCCACCATCAACCAAGCACTTCACTCACTGAACAAGAAATCTTCGAGTCACAATGCCAAAATAAAACTAGGATCCGCAAGTCTATTTTAAAATTCAATAACAACCTCCAACAACTTTGGCTCACTTCTCGAATGCAGGTAATGAGAAACCCTGTCTTTCTCCCTTTTCAAACATTCCTCAACCTGGAACAGCAAACCAAAGACACCAATTTCAGTTTAAGTGAGAAGTCCTCTTCCCATTTCACCAAGGTCAGACGGTTGTCTGGCTTACTTTAAACAGGTAATCTGGACACGAATCTTCTAGGATCCAGTTTGAAGCTTTGTGAGAATAATAAACAGCGGTAGCTTTGAGCATTGCTGCCTCCAAATCGTTGTCATAGCAATCCATTCGTCCCATACCAATTTCAACAAAAATATCCACAACATTTTTCAACAAAGCTCGGTCAATTTGCTCCCCTTCACGCTCTTGATCAATCTGAATAAGGGAGAAACTAGGTCAGTGTCATAAGAACAGTACAAAACGAAACAAATTAGAGACAAAATAAGTTATATCGTACCAAAAAAATTACAGCATCCCTAACTTCCCCACTAAATTCTTGGTACACCTGAAACAAAAATGTATTTGAGCTTATAACATGAAACCAAATTAGGGACGCATGGAACAAGGAGCGTTTAGCAATAACGTACCAGGTCGCGGAAGCAATTGAACCCAACTTCATTAAGCGGTGGAAGTGACCTCCGAGGACAAAATTTCCGATCAAGGAAATGAAAGAAACGAGATAGCCATCTAACCATAACTTTATGGTTTGCCCATCGTTTTACAAGCTCCCTCAACAAGAATTCATCATGCTTCTCCCTCAAGGATGGTAATACCTAAATCAGAACCACACAAACTCACTAAGACTAACTCGGCAGAAGGTAGAAATCAAGAAAACCAATGCATCATCCATGGAAGAATAATTTTTTTTTATATTCACGTTGCAAATTCAATGTCAATGTGCCTCACCGTTGAGGTAATGTAATCTTCAATGGACTCCCGGTACCTGTCATACAACTGTTGAGAGTAATCATGAGGAGGCTTCTGAGTGCACATCATATAGACGGTTCTACAAGCACCATTAAGGGAAAATGACAATCACAATGATAAAAAAAAACGGTAACAAGACGTATGCATCACTGATTAGCCAAAACTTGGATACGTGTATAGCTTCATGTAGTCCTCGGAGGTGAACTGTGGCTCCGGTAGTCCTTCCACTATGTTCTTCAGCTTATTAAAACCCCTCAGCACAATCTCCCATCCTTGTTCTAGTTCGATCACCATGATTCCCGGCCCCTAGTTACTGAAACCAGGGCCAGCAATGCCTCTGCAAAGATTTCCTGCAGATTGAGGCTAGTTACTGTTACACCCCAATCAATAACGGGTAACAACATTATCACCAAGTCAGGATGCTTCGTATGGTAGAAGCCCCAAATTCAGAATCCACCTAACACCCCTACCTCTCTAAATTCGTAACTGCAATCCTCAAACCCTAATCCACCACGGAGCAGCACAGAGAACAAACATAAACACAATCAAATGAACTCAAGCATCCGAAACAGTCCAATTCGTGGAAACACTTCAAATCTTGATTTCTATCACTTCCCGCCACCAGCGCGGTTGTCCAAATTGCCGCATCAAAGAAGACTGGGCGGTGAAATCGTTCAAGAGATCTAGAAACTCACGCGATTATGAATCGGCTACCCCAAACACCCGGAGCAGGAGAAGTTCATAATTCATAGTTAACAGAACACGGGGGCAGAGAGCACAGAGCGCGTACCTAGTTGTGTTTCCGATACCGCGACGAAGACCAAGATGGTGGCGAGAAGGGAGTAGAGCCATAAGTAGGAATTATGGAGAAGCAGGAAGAAACGAGGAAGCCGGGGCTGGAGATGGACAGAGCGTTGACGAGGGCAGACATTTGGTCAGTGCCGTGTTTGACTTGTGGTGGAATAATCGGATGCGAGGTTGTGAATTTCCCGCTCTCTCGTTCTCTCTCGGTGTCGGTTCCCGGCCAATCCCGTTTTCAGTCTATTATATTCTTCACAATTAACAAGACAATCCCTATATAAGAAATATTTTACATATTCAATCCTCATACTATGCAAATTTGCCTTATATCATGGGTTGGATCGAAGTTTCCACATTCACGTAATGTTTCCGTTGAGAACCATTATGGGCTTATGGTATGCATGTATTGTTGCTGTCGTTGGATAATTTAGATATAGATGCGTCCAATTAAAGATAATGACATGTATCGACTTTAAAATTTGGACACGAGGTGTGTGATGAAAATATTATCTAGTATGATTCATGCATAGACAGAAATAATAATAACAATATTTTTTTAGTAAGGACCGATTTACTTTACTCTCATATGATAGCCACATAGGGATATTTCAACTTAGTTATTGATAGAGAACAATTAAATGTCTATATTAAGAACATTAAATCTAATAGCCTTATAAAAAAATTGGCCGAGAAAATTTTAGTTATTGAGGGTCAAATACACAATGTGTCACTTAAGTATATCATATGTAGCAAACTAACCATTTTTTTTATAACTAAACCATATATAAGTTAAATTTTAGTTGCAACTAAATTATATAAATTAAATGATGGTTGCACTTGCACCATTGTAATTACGTCCATTGGTCTCGAGATGGCTTGGCGCAAGGGGCTCCGATTTCTCATTGCGGAAACAGACTCTCAGCTTGCGATCGATCTCATTCAGCACAGGTCTGATCAGGCTCACCCTTTTGCTTCCCTGCTCAATACGATTCGTAGACTTTTGGCGCAGGACTGGCTGGTTAATCTAGTGCATACATACCGGGAAGGGAATAGAGTCGCGAACTGGCTCTCGAAGCACAGTCTCGTCTATCCCTACGGTATGCATGAACTAGTCAACCCTCCAGCCCAACTTATTGATACGTTAAAGGATGATGATCGTGGGCTGACTTTACCTAGAAATATTGTCACTCCCTCTGTAACCCTCCCCCTATAACCCTGCTTTCTCTCTTCTTGGCGTTTCTGCGCCTCATTGCAATAAAAAAAAAAAAATTACGTCCATTGGTTTGTAGACGAGTACCAAACAGAAATTATTGTTAAAAAATGATTTCACCTCATATCTTAACTAATAATGAGTTTCGACAAAATCAAATTATTGAAGAACTTAATCAAAACCTAAGTGAAATGGTACAAGCAACCAGAATTAAGTGGTTCTTCACATTATGAATGAGTTTTGCTTAGTGGAAGTACTATAATTCTCAGTTTTCTATTAGGTTTGTTGCAGTCATTTACACATCCACTTACAGCAGTAAACAACAATTAACAAAACTCAAAGTAATTACAACAAGAAGGGAAAGACAATTACATCTCTGCAGACAATTTAACATCCGTAGTAATCACCATGTTAACGTCGCAGTCGATGAGCATATAGCAGGTAAATGTACCTAATAGCGGTTTCCAGTGTCTGCGTGCATAAAAACATTGATCATTCAGACGAAGCAGATTCCAACAGGACATAGTATTAGTAAGTACCATATGGATATGAATTGCGACAAACACACACCTCCTGGAAAAGAGTATGGTTTTCGAAGCAACCATTAACGTAAGCCTGATACTTCACCTCCAGCAATCCAATCTCATTCTCCATGTCAAAAACCTGAAGACCAAGCAACATATCGGTTTATGCTTAAGAACAGATCATCTACTCTGCCGGCAGGGATAAAAGTGAATGTACCCGTCAATCGGATTCAAAACATACTATCCACTGGCAACTTGGATGTGAAAAAGAATTAGACTGAGCTTGACACCAGTCCAAATAAGGTGACAATGGAACGTGAAAGAAAAATGTACCACGAAACCGAATCGTCCTTCACCTGAAGCTGATACAAGCACAATGAATTCAGTAAAACAGAATTTACCACTTTAGGCATTCTAATTTTGGTCTCATGTTCACCTCAATGCAAGCAAGTTTCCATCAAAAGTTCGATTTTTAAAATGGAAAACTGTTGAAAGCACTCGAACCAGTTCATGCATAAGCTAGAAGCTGCACGCGTTGTTGACAATGCCTCGCCTAAGGATAGACCAGTAAATGCGGCGGAGAGCCATTTGCATAAGGATAGGGTTCACATCGAATACCCCAGAAGCTTTCAGTGAATGCATTTGCATAAACCAGTAAAGTTACATACCGTGTTGTTGCGTGCAGCATCTTGAGCCCGCTGTACCAAACCTGGAAATTCATCAGTAACATGCTGCAACATGGAACCAAAACTGTGTTAGGGAGTAAACAAAGTGGGGGGAAAAAATGGAAGAGCAAGGCAATTTGAACGGAGTGTGCTCAGTTGATACTTGATACCAACCTCCCAGAACATATTAGAAACAAGTTGTAAGCGATGAGGTAATCTTGAAAAGAGTCTGAACATTCTTGATAAATCATCGACCTAAAATTCACACAGAATATACGCGGGAAAAAAGGATTAATTGATTCAAAAGACACCCACGCATAAAAAATAATAATTACCAAGTTGTTATTACCCCACCTGGTCATCTCTGAGCAACACATGAAATCCTGAGTGCTCTTTCGTGAGAAGTTGGATACCATGAACTGAAAGCAGCTCGTTTTGGACTTTCTACCATGTAGAAAAGCAACATAGCGTAAGCAACATCAACAGCTGATATAGATACTTGAAAGGGCGTCCTTAACCTAGCACTTGACACACTGAACAAGAAATCTTCAAGCCACAATGCCGAAAAATTGCTAACTTCTGAAAGTCTATCTTAAATTTCTATAACAACCTCCAACAACTTGGGCTCGCTGCTGGGATGCAGGTAATGAGAAACCCTGTCTTTCTCACTTCTCAAACACTCCTCAACCTGGAACAGCAAACCAAAGTATCAAACACAGTTTAAGAGAGAAGTCCTCTTCACATGTCACCAAGGTTAGAAGGCTGTGTGGCTTACTTTCAACAGGTAATCTGGACACGAATCTTCTTGGATCCAGTTTGAAGCCTTTCCAGAATAATAAGCAACCGTTGCTCTGAGCATAGCTGCTTCGAAATCATGAACGTAGTAATCCATTTGTCCCGTACCAATTTCAACAAAAATATCCACAACATTTTTCAACAAAGCTCGGTCAATTTCCTCTCCCTCACGCTCTTGATCAATCTGAATAAGGGAGAATCCAGGTCAGTATCATAAGAACAGTATAAAACGAAATAAATTCGAGGCGAAGTAAGTTAAAATCATACCAAAGAAAGTACCCAAACCCTAAGATCCCGATAGAAGGCATGGTACACCTGAAACAACAACAAAATTGAGCACTTAACATGAAAGCAAAATCAGGGATACATGACCAAGGAGGGTTCAGCAGTAACATACCAGGTTGCGGAAGCAAATGAACCCAACTTCACGAAGCGGCAGAAGTGACCTCCGGGGAATAAATTCCCAATCAAGGTAATGAAAGAAGTGAGATAGCCATCTAACCAGAACTTTATGGTTTTCCCATCTCTTCACAAGCTCCATCGGCATGAATTCATCATGCTTCTCCCTCAAGGATGGTAATACCTAAATCAGATCCACAAAACTCACTCAGACTAACTTGACAGAAGGTAGTAATAGAGAAACCAATGCACTGGCTCATGGAAGAAAATTGTCTATTCACATTGCAAATTCAATGTCCTTGTGTCTCACCATTGAATTAATGTAATCTCCAATGGACTCCCTATACCTGTCATACAACTGTTGAGAGTAATCATGAGGAGGCTTCTGAGTGCACATGTTATAGACGGTACTAAAAGCAACGTCAAGGAAAAATGACAGCCACAATGAACAAAACGTAACAACAAAATCCTATAATGGAAGTCATATTCATCAGTGATTAGCCAAAACTTGGATACGTGTATAGCTCCATGTAGTTGGCAGAGCTGAACTTTGGCTCCGGTAGTCCTTCCAGGATGTTCTTCAGCCTAGTAATCCCCCTTTCAATAATCTCCCATCCTTGTTCTAGCTCGATCTCCATGTTTCCCTGCCCCTAGTTACTGAAAATCAAGGCCAGCAATGCCTCTGCCAAGATTAACCTGCGCATCGAAGCTAGGTACTGTGAAGCTTCGATCAATAAAGAGTAACAGCATTATCGCCAAGGCAGGATACTTCGCCCTAACAACTCAGAATCCACCTAAATTCCTACCTCAATAATTGGGGGAAAAAACAAGAAACTCCCAATCCTGAAACCCTAATCATCCATGTAGCAGCATACAGAACAATCCGATTCGTTTTCCATCACTTCCCGCCACCAGCGTGATTGTCCTAATCGCCGCGGCAAAGAAGACTTATCACGGAACAGGTAAGGGAACTTCGCCGGACAGTGATAATGATATTGCTCAAGAGATCTAGAACTCATAGAAAACTAAGAAATCGCAATCCTCCACGGAGCGGCAAGGAAAACAAACATATAAGCAATTGAATGAACTCAAGCATCGGCAACCAGTCCAATTCGAGGAAACACTTGAATTCTCATTTTCCTTCACTTCCTGCCACCAGCGCCATTGTTCCTAATCGCCGCAGCAAAGAAGACTTATCACGGAACTGACGACGGAAAGGATACGGAAACTTCGTCGGGCGGTGAAATTGTTAAAGGAAGGAAGAGATCAAGAACTCATAACAAAATAAAGAAAACTGCAATTCTGAAACCCTAATACTCCATGGAGCAGCGTAGAGAACTAAGGAAAATCAGTTCAAGCGAAATCAAGCATCCGAAACCAATCCAGATCGTGGAACACTTGGACTCTCATTCCCCGTCACTTCCCGCCGCCAGCGCGATTGACCGAATCGGCGTTACACGGGAAATGCCGACGGAAGGGACAGGGAACTTCACCTGACGGTGAATTCTTTCATGAAAGGAAGAGATCAAGAAACGCGCGCGATCGTGAATCGGCTCTCGTGAACATCCGGAGTAGGAGAAGTAGTTCATAACTCAGAGTTAACACAAGCAGAGAGCGGAGAGAAAGCATACCTGGTTCTGGTTCTGGTTCTGATTCCAATATCGAGAAGACGAAGATGGTGAATGGTGATGAGAAGGGAGTAGAGCCTAATAAGTAGGTATTATGGAGAAGCAAGAAGAAGACGAGGCCGGGGCTGGACGGAGGGTTGACGTGGTGAGACATTTGGTCAATGCGGTGTTTGACTTGTGAATGAGAGAAAAGATCATACGAAAACTGATGTGAACTTCCCGCTCTTTCTCAGTTTCTCTCTCTCTCTCTCGGGCTCGGTTTCGACCTTTCGGGTCTAAAATGGGTTTTTTCCCGGTTCATCATTATATTTTGTAGAGTTACAAATTAATCACTAGATAAGAAGTTACTTTGATATTCAGTCCTCCAACCATGCAAATTTAACTTAAGTCTCAGGAAGTTCGACGATTAGTCGACTTTCGCTCGCGGCTTTGTACTGTTCTCTGACTATGTATCCGAGTTTTGGCTCGGTTTGTCTACGTTAAAAAAAAAATGTTTGAGGGGGGAAACGTCTGGTGTCAATAAAAAGATTGTAATACAGCTATAAAAGCCTCCAAAGTTTGGAATTTTTTTGTATACCTAGTTAGAGAGCACGCATGTCAGTCTAACGTGTCGGTTCATATTAGATTCGTTAATTTTGTGTTGGCACTTGACAATATATGTATGTACAATTTTGGTAGATAGCTTAGTTAAAAATATGTCTATCTATTCATTAAGGTGGAGACTAGAGACGTATATCGAAATGTACATCAACCGTGATCATAATATATCATCAATAGCTAACACAATATTTGACTGACTACATTATATAATATTCATGTACAAAACATTACGTGATGCAATTTCTGAGTTGTTGGAAAAGATGTTTATGTGATAAATATGTATTGTAAAACGTATCATGGAGAGGCTAATTATGGGAGAGGAGAGTTGAGAAAGAAGGAGGTGGGTATGGTGAATGATGTTGTTGGAAATGGTGGAGTATTTCTGTGCTTGGTGGTCAAAAAGAGAACAAGACTAGGAAAAATGGGCTATCAAATTGCTCTTGAAGTTTGATAAGTGGTCCATGAGGTAATCTTATGAGTAGTGAGAACTTAGAACTCACTTGCTCAAAGTGGAAGACATATGAGATTTCGTTACATTTTTATAATGAAATTTTTTTTAAATGTTGTTTTCTATTCTCATCTTAAATTTTTTTAAAAATATAAGGATATTCGTGAAACTAGAATGCAGGTTGGTTCTAATTTAATTCTCCTTTTTTTTTTTTGGATCTTATCAATCGGTTCCTACACATCCAATTCTTACCGTCGCCAAGGTCCGTGCATAAACAATATGTGGTCTTCTTGCATACATATATATTTAAGAATCATCTAAGAAAATATGTAAACCATCTCAATCTATTTGATGGAGAAGGAGATCAGGATGGATATATACCATGAAAAGTTCATCAAAAGAAAGACCAATTATGGGAGAGGAGAGGTGCAGAATAAGGAGGTGGGTATGTTGAATGATGTTGTGGGAAGTGGTGAAGTTATGTGCTAGCTTCATGAGATGGTGGCCAAAGAGGGGAACAAACTCTGAAGTAGTTGGTTCTCACATTGTGATTAAACTTTAATGTTTGATCAGTGGTCCATCAGAGTAACTTTTACGAGTAACTTCTAATTATTAAATCGTGCTTGTTCAAAGTAGAGGACATATGAGACTCAGGTACATTCATTACGATAGGAAAAAAAATATGGATCGCACTTGCTCAAAGTAGAAGACGTCGTAGAAGACTTAAGTACATTTATTACGATTAAAAAATGTGTTTGGTTAGGTGTTGCTCTCGATCCTCTCCCAACGTAATTAAAATTAGGTAACAAATTAGAGGGGGGAAACCATTTTAAACTAGCTAGAACCAACACCAATTATTCATTTTGCATATGTGAACAGTGTTTGGCTGCTACCCATGAAGTGGTCCAAATTTCACTTTCAACTGGAAAGAGTGGGGGAAATGAATTAAAAAGGGAAGGACAAAGAACTAAAGGGGAAAGTATTGGTGGCCAAAGAACCCTAAGTTCCTTAACCCTAGACAACTTTGAAGAACCCAACACCCTTTTTATGGGGCTTGTTTCATTCTTTATAATCTTAATAAACTATAGCTAGGATACATGGTTAAGCGGTTTCCCCCATAGAAAATGGAAAATGTTCAAATTATATGTGCCCCAATCAAAAGAAACCCTAGCTAGTTAGCTAGAATGTGACATCAAAGTCATGTTTGGATATATCCTTGGTGGAACTTGAGAGTTGAGACTATAGATGAAACCAAAGTCCTAAGCCATGTCCCACCATGAAAATTACATTTTGGAAGAGCAGGCATGAAAACGGAAGATTATTGGTGATCATCGGCATACGTATTCGATTTTTGAGCATAGAGATATTTAGTTCAAATTATAATGTTGTTATTGGAAGATTATTATTGTGTATAAGTGACAAAGTATTATTAATAAGATTATGCGCCTTAATTTCTTTAATATTATTATTATTGAACTGATAATTATGACAACCCAATCAAACTTAATTTCAGAACAATTTCTTTTATGACGATGATGAAAAGAAAGAGCTGGCTACAAGACAACAATTACCAGGCCTGATGTTGATGGAATGGAACATTAATTAACTAAATACTTAATTAATTGATATCATCCATTAAACTCGGTTTCCTGTTCTGTAACCAGACTATTGAAACAGAATGGAAGTGATTAATAAAAAGCTGTGCATTCGTGGGATTGGTTTAGTTTGTTTGCCAGTGGTCGAAGAGACAAAACAAAAGGAGAACAAAAAAGAAGAAAATTGTAGTGATTATCTAAGAAATTAGGATATAAGTTGCTGTCTTTAATTAATTGGAAGTTCATTCAATTTTAAAAACTTAATTTTGATCAGTCTTCTTATATCCTTCAAGGGGTTAGATTAAATCCCGTCTATGCTATATACCGCATATCCAACCTCAAAATGGTTATTTTGATTATTTAAATCGACTAGGACAATTATTTACAATTCCGTTTGTAGTTTTTAAGTAGTTTAGGGCTCGTTTGGAAGTTGCGATTGTTAAATAATTTGGAAGTTGCGATTGTTAAATAGATGTATTGTTGAGAATGCATGTATAATATTATACATGTATTGTCGAATTTGATGCATTGTAGAATACAACGTTTAGTATGTGTGATTGTGTATGTCGCATCAACTAAAAGCTTAGACAAAACAATCTCAACTCAACAATCACAACTAAAAGTTGAGATATAACAATCACCCAAAATGAGTGATAGTTTCTGTCACATCATAGAAACAATCCATGTATTTTTTCTGCTAAAAAAACAAAAAAAAACGATGCATTGTAAACAATACATGGATAATGAAAATCTCAACAAAACAATAGCAACTTCCAAACGACCCCTATAAAAACTTGTTGTGTAGAACTTTTGGGATTTATCAAATGAGTTTCATAAACAAAATATGAATAGATTAGTTATATTGTAAACAAATACCAGTGATTAAATTTAAAATTTTGATTATTAGATCTAGTTTCAGTGACCATTCACCTAAAATCCAGAGTATACCACAAATATGGCCAAAGTAATACTAATAATAATAATAGAATAGCTAGCAGATATTTCATATGGTTCATATTGACTGACCTTATCCGATTTCATATTCTTCTTGTTGCTAAGGAGGAAACAAATGATTCCCGCCATCACTTTCATCACCCATTAATTCTTTCAAGGTTTTGTCATCACTTCATCTTCATCGAGTATCCAAGAAATTATATAAACTGGGAAGAAGATTGACAAATAGGTTATTTGCACACAACAATTAGTTAAAGATTAAGAGTATGTCTATGGTAACTACAAAATTACTATGACTTGGAAGAAATGATCCACCCTTCATGAAAACTGATCGTCCGAATAACTCGAGTTGTTGGAAGAGATTCAATTGTGGATCATATACCGTTTACTAACAGATACTCCATATTGACAATATCCGAATTAATTTGGAGATACTAGCAAACCCAACAATTTGTTAGTGTTCCTAAACTTATTGGGCTTGATGAGTACATAGAGGTAGAGGTGATATTGTCTAAATTGTGATGAGTTGACCGCTAGATATATAGCTATAGAATATAGCAAAACCTACTAGTAAATTCTGGATTATGTTTTAAAAATGTCAATCAAATGTACTTGAATTGCAATAAGTATGTTTTCAATGATTTATTGTTTTTTTAGATAGAGATAAAAAGTCGGAACTACGTTCTTAGACTCCAGAAAACTGGAAAACGGTTTTGTGTCTACAAACAATAACATACCATATATGAATATCCTAGTTAAGTGAATGAATGATTGCGAATTAGTTTATTATTTCTGTAAAACATTGGATGTGTAGTCATCGATGAATTACAAATTTCTCTTCCTTTCTTGGAGAATTTCAAAAACATTCACCCATAAACTAAAAAATTACGCTTCTTTTCTTGTACAACGTACAGACACCGAGAATCACATGCTTTCAAGCTCATCAACGCTGAAACTAACAGATTTACTTGACGAATCAAAGGACAACAAGAGTGTGTTCTGCTCTATCAAAGAAGACTTCTTAAACTGTGTTCTTTCCTGCTGAAAAGGAACTCTCATCGTTACTTTCTGCAACAATCTGGACAATCATGTGAAACATAGATTCAACGATAATCCGAAACATCATCACCAATTCATTCCCAATTCCTCAAATCTACATGTTTCAATTGCTCAAATATCTAATCTAACCATGAAACAATGATAGTTTGAATCCAGACATATAATAAGATCAACCCCCCCCCCCCCCTCCCAACCCAAAGAAACAATCTAACCCCCAAACTTGTACACTAGATCAAACCCAATTGATAAAATCTCATCAAGAAATCTAGCCTTCAACAAAAAAGAAAGTATTTATACCTTCTGAATTTCTCTTCTCTAGCTAACTCAAAAACAAAATTGCCCTCAATTGAAGAAGAAGAAAGAAGAAGTAGTGAAGAACCCCACTAGTCAACAAAACAAAAAAAATCAAATCCCATCAAACTTGAACGAACTAGGCCCTCCCCCTCCACCGCCGCCGCCGGCCGGATCATCATCATGCTCATACCGCCGCCCTCCTCCTCCTCCGCCGCCGCCGCCCTGATTGTTATTACCACCAGCCGTCGATCTCTCCCCTTCCACCTCCCTATACCGATGCAAGTACCGCCGGAGAGGCGAAGCATAGTCGTCGAACCCCAGCGACCCCATCGCCCAGCAAACATCGTCGCCGTTGACCGTCTTCCGCCGCTCCTTCCGGCACTTCTCCGACGCCTCGCTGGTGACGAAGCTGATGAACTCCGACACGCACTCCTGCATCGTCTCCTTCGCCTCCTTCGACACCTTGGCGTTCGGCGGCAGGATCTGTTTCATTATCCGCCCCACGTTGGCGATCGGGAGCAGCCTCTCCGCCTGCTCCCTCGACCAACCCCCGCCGCCGCCGTCGTCTCCTCCTCCGCCGCCGCTCGTCGACGCGCCTCCGAGGTGGTGGTGGTTGGTGCTGTCGGCCATCTCTTCTTCTTCTTCGCTCCTTGTTTGGTTTTCGTTTTAACAACAACATCATGTCGCTCACAAGTCAAAACTCTTGCAATTTTTATATGGGGAGGTTTCATGTGAATGTTATTATAATAATGATGTTTCATATTATTATTATTATTATTATTTTTCGTGTTAATTGGGTCGAATATGTTTTTGTATGTTGTTTAATTATATATAATTGTTAACGTTTGTACATGGTGACTAGCTACTACATATCTCGACCAAAGTAGATAAAATAGGATTAAGGGGTGAGTTAAGGGTTAAACTTTGATTGCTTATTGTTTACAAACCTAATTATTTTATTGGTACATATTTGTCCAACCAAATCCAAAGCCTAACTGCACAAACAAAACCATCTCCAATCGTCTATCTCTCTCAGCATTGCACTTCAATTTTAGTGTCCTTAAATTATTCAAAAGTTGTGAGAAGGATTGATCTACAGTTTTATTGTATGGTTTTCAATGGGTAAATTTCGTATTTGAATTCTCGGGTGGATATCTGATCTCCCTTCCACAAAAATAACATAGGAGTGTGTTCGAAAGTGATCAAATTTTAGTTAAGAAACAATAGATATATGCTAATTACTCATTTGTTATGGTCGAATTCACTTCATCAGAAATGTAAGGGGGGAGAGAGAGAGAGAGAAAGGCTCACTGGGGAGAGGGGAGGAACACATACAAGAGTGATTTTTCAAAGCTAATTTTTGTGTTTCTTTCGGTTAAGAAGAGTCGCTAACGTGTAGTTTAGTTGATTTAGTGTCAACAAGAAGATCTATGTATGTTTGATGATGTGAAGCACATTAATTACTAGCATAATCATCAAACACACTTAACGGAAAATAAGATGGAGTACGAGACAATGTTTATTATTCTGATTTGAAAAAGGTAAGTGACCATGCACCTTGATATGTTTTGAATACTATAAACTCGTATTTTCTTACGTTAAAGGGGTCATATATTCTGCACAATTATATTTATAATAATGTGGTTAATTAAATGGCCAAATTACAGTGATCCAAATAAAGAGTCCAAATACATCTTGTACTCATATATATGCTCCAAAATGGGTGGAACCCATATATACTAACCTAGTTAGAGTTTTATTGGAACTCTAACTAAAAACTAGTATGTAAAGAACTTAGAGATTGTGGTCCTTCAATGCATCTAGATTGACACATCCGAGTCTTCTCCCTATCAAAAGGATCAGAAATACCCACTACAGGAACTGGGGAGACTTCGTTGAATAAGGTCACAAAACCTCTCGAAGCATACTTTAGAGAAATTCTATAGCCACAAATTGTTATTCGAATTCCACATCAAGTTATTGACCATCAATCTACATAAATCCATGTATAGAGAGATACACAATTAATTATATTGAAGACCCTAGTAAGATTTGTAACCCCTCATTTCACCATTCTTATACCATCATATGTAAACTAAAGAATGAAGAGAGAAGAGGAAAAGGCCAAAGGACTACTCTTAGCTTGTAAGTATGTGGGGGATTAAGCTATGTGGCCTGTGGGGTACATATTTAAATGCTTAACTACGTACTTGGGTTGGCTTATTGTGATTCTATGTGGCTGTAATTAGTTGAGAAAGCATGTGAAAGGAGCCGACCAGGTTTTGGATTAAGCGTGAGGGCCAAGCCTTTCGATCTCGACTTAATTTAATAGCTTAATTTCCTCAGTATTTTAATTAATCAATTTGTTAACTGCAATCCACTACTCTTCCCAATTTGTTGGCATGTTGTTAAAAACAATTTTACATCATGAGAATCTTAAATCGTCTTTCTTTGTAGCTAAAACCCACTTGTTTCATCCCCTAGAAATCGAAGTAATTCCCTTGAAAAATGTTTTAGCCCTTTCAAAGATTAAGTGTCAAAGTTGTCTAGCAGTACTTATCAGAGTCTTGGACTGCAAATATAACGAGAGAAGTCGTGTCTATTCGACAATTGGTAATATGTAAAGAAAATGTTTGAAATTACATGACGAATTTTCTCAAATTTAATATCCCTTAAAATCTATCCTTGAACATTTATCGACTTGAGATTGAAGTATCAATAATAGTAAAATCTTATTCTTGACCTTGCTTTCCAAAAATGAAGCACAAATTAGTTATTTTTGCTGGGGATTTTTTTCCTTGTGAAAAAGATAGTTTGATATGTATTACAAACAAAATTAAGACCTAAAATTCGTAGCAAACAAATTAAGCAAGAACACATTTAACCACCAAATAAGTCATTATGTTTTCATGATGACCAACAAACTGAATACTAAACAATCAGACAACAGCATGCGAGTCGCAAAGCTCCTCCAGAACCACTCCATCGCGAGAATCATGTCTGACAACCCATTAACCTTGTCAGTGACCACCTTTGCATCTCTCCCCATCTCCACTTAGCCCACATAGAAGAAAAGAACACCTTACATTGTAACCCTAACTTTTAAAAGCAAGGAATAGAACATGGTCCAAAGTCTACTACCTCTATGTTTGGTCATTTGATGATAACTAAAGTAACCATGGCCACTAATATTGCTTAGCCTGAATTTAGACAAAACCCTAAATGAAAACTGAAAAGAAAAGGGAGTAGTACTCGTGAATGTGTGTCGTTCCCCAACATTGCACTCTTCAAGATGTGCTCTACGAATCATTAGCCAGTTAGGTCAATTGATTAGGCCAAAGCATCTTTATTAGAGATTAAACTATAAATTGGTACTGTTCCTGTGGTTGATTATTCAATTGCAACTAAACATTATAGTATGCCTTTTGGGTGTGGATGGATTCGATCATCACCAATACTCTTCCCCTCTGAACTTTGCTGGAGAAAAAGTTAAGCTCAAATCTTATATAAATTCGTAACGGATGTTTCAGATTACGTCATTTGATACGTCAACAGTACTAATGTATTTTTCTTTTTTAATTCTTAAGTTGTGGGCTTTATAGTTCATTCTCTGCCAAGTGAGGATTTTGCAACCAATTGAAAGGTGATAAAACTTGTTGAACCAAGAGAATCCAGTTTGTAAGTGAATGGTCACAAAATCATATGCCCAAAGATTTTTTGGCGACGATAAAAGTAGATGTCACGTACCCGACCAAACTGTTGTCGCGATAAGATTATTAGTAACTGCAAAATGCCGGCAAAAATAAATAGGTTAAAGACAAAATACATTAGGATAGGGTTAATTGTGGCTATCAGATGGTTAATTTTGGGTTTTTGGATCAGATTTAGATAATTATTTTACTTTTTAATTTTTCTTAATACAAGTTGTGTGCTGGTGTCATTATCTTGATGATGCTATGGGGGATAACGATTGATGAATCTGATCAGATAAAGTATGAAGTTTTCCCCAATGAAATAGATAAATAAGGAGATGTAAACCATTTTCATCAGGTTCTGCTTCATCTTCAAAAGCTACAACGTAACAAACTACTAGTTTAATTTTGATTGAGTGAGCAATTTCGTGTTTTGCATTATGATGTTCATGTGTTTAAGTTAATGAAGATAGAGCTCACGTGAGTTTTCTTGCAAAATTTCAATTTCAATTTCATCTCCGACTGGTTGCGGCGGCTGACCGGTGTCTCCTCGGGGTATGGTGACTCGGTTAGATTTTTTGGCTCTCATTGACCTGATCTCCTCTGTTTCATTTGTTCCAACTATAACCGATCATTCATAATGCAATGCAAGATTCTCCTTTGTCCAAAATTTTGAATTATTATAACTAACAGTACTTAATATGGTTCCAACGCATCTTTCTGAAAAAATTGAAAAACCGTATCGTGCTAATGGTTCAACCAGAAAAATCTCCTACCATAAGCTAAACTAGTAGGCGATATCTAGTCGTTTGAAATGATTGAACCACGAATAAACCATGATTACAATATAAAATACCCTATCACTTACAACCTCTGTCTGTACGGTTTCTCGATCCTTACTTTTTCTAACCGTAAAAATAGAATGCATAATGAAAGCTCCGCATACGGGATAAGATTTAAGAAGCTTAATTTTGTTAATTGTCTACTTCCGGATTACTCCATTGAGGACTTCACCCAGTAATTAAACGGAATTAACAACCAGCTTTTACCTATGCATAATCGCTGTAATTAAAATAACTTACCAGTTACCAGTTAGTGCTTCGAAAAGTGAAACTTTCCCGTATTTATCATCGACCAATTAAAAATTATTAAAACAAGATTCGAAGATTTTAATTTAAACTAAAAACGTGTCCAACTACTAGAATGTTCGGGTTGTTATTTATTAAACGAAAAACTTAAAGAAGTAGCTAGGCTCCTCTAATTAGTTAATTCGATATGATTACTCCCAACAAAGACAACACAAGCTCGATTCAGACAAAAAGATATGTAAAAATAAAATAAAAAATTTGTTGGTTATTTACCTCAAGGTTCAAACTCAGGGTGTGATAGATGTTTCAACCCCATACTACCATTTGTTCAATCCCTTGGAGTTTAAGGAGCCAAAGCCTTGTGAAAATAGTTTAAAAGTGATCTCAAGTGTTTGTAATGAACAATAAAATAAAATAATGGATTCAAGGTTCGAACTCAGGGTGTGATAGATGTTTCAACCCCATACTACCATTTGTTCAATCCCTTGGAGTTTAAGGAGCCAAAGCCTTGTGAAAATAGTTTAAAAGTGATCTCAAGTGTTTGTAATGAACAATAAAATAAAATAATGGATTCAAGGTTCGAACTCAGGGTGTGATAGATGTTTCAACCCCATACTACCATTTGTTCAATCCCTTGGAGTTTAAGGAGCCAAAGCCTTGTGAAAATAGTTTAAAAGTGATCTCAAGTGTTTGTAATGAACAATAAAATAAAATAATGGATTGTTGAGGTTGAACGAGACTCTGAGGTCAAATAAATATTAAGTTCGTTTGGAAGTTGTGATTGTTAAATAGATGTATTGTTGTGAATAGATGTATTGATGAATTTGATGCATTGTAAAATATAGTGTTTGGTATTTGTGACTGCGTATGTCGCATCAGTTAAATGCTGAGATAAAACAATCTCAACTCAACAATCTCAGCTAAAAGCTTAGATATGACAATCACTCATTTTAAGTGATAGTTTCTGTCACATCACAGAAACAACCAATGTATTGTGTCTGCTAAAAAAATAAAAAAA